GCAATTATCTCCAGGAAAAGAGCTGAGGCTCATGCCTCAAGATCAGGATCAGAAGAAGGAGGATCAAGGCTCAGGCTGAGGGTCAGGCTCGCAGCCACAGACCCCTTCCTTTGTCCTCGTTGTTTTTTTTACCCGTGGTTATTTGGCGAATCGTATGGCCCAGAGGACGGTACTACCATTCATCTTACCTGTCTTTCCCACGTCAAATTGAGGCGCCACCCGTAACCCATCTCCGTGATGGGGAAGACCCGGTACCACTCAACAGTCACGGACCAGCCTAAGAGCCCTAGAAGGTCTTAGTCAGGAAGCCTTTTTGACAAGACGTGCCAGGCGGAGGTTTTTTTTTTCGAGTGTCAGACGAAGAGAGGGGGCGCAACAGACCCACTGGTACAAGGCGCTACTGGGACGTGCGCACGCTATGTGTTCCTTAACCTGGATCGCCCAGCCAAACCCCATCCCGTTGCATCCAGCGGCCCTGGGCATCCCCACTGTCTGGATGCTTCATCTCGACGCCCAAAGGAACCCATGAGCACCTAGTGGCCCCTCTCCACCGCCCATCAACAGCCACCAACCGCCCATCCACCGCCCATGCCACTTTATCCGAGCACTATCGGGTCCCGCCATGTCCACACCCAATCACCCAGGGCTCCATGGCTTACTCCACTTATATCCTTCCTGTTGCTTTGCTTGGTTGGGGACCCCCCGGTCCTAGTTTAAGCCAGCCTGCCAGCTAGAAAACTAAGAACTGTCAGAGCCCGTGCACCGTGCACCGCGCACCGCAGCCTCCTACCTACTGATGGCAACCTGATGTGCCCGGCTCTGCTTCTCGCCCGCCGACAAATGATCCAGCATGAGATCTATAACCCTACCTCTAGCGTGGTTTCCCGTGACTTTGCTTCAGAACGAGAGCCCTCTCTCCTCTTTCCTGTCTTCCCACCGTCATCCTCCACCAGCTTCTTCTCCAGTATCGCCCTACTCACTTGGTTGACCCTTTGTCTTCCTCTACCACACAAGTCGTGTTCATTTTCCCAACCTGACGCTCCCATCATCTCCTGCCTTATGCCCTACTGTCATCTTCCAAGGAGATAGCATCGTCATTTTCGCGCTCCCTATATTCTTGTCGCCCTAATCCCCGTTTTCTCCCTTCGTCTCCAGGCAGGCAGATAATTCTGACCTAGCCCGCTTCTCATTCTTCAAACGCCATTCACCGCGTCGATCACTCACTCTCACTCTCGCTCACCTGCTGTGAGCTTGACAAGAGGTGTTGTACCTTGCCTGTCGCCAAACCCTGCCGACGCCTCTGCACAAGTGCGCGGAACCTGGCTTGCTGAAAATTTTCTGAAGAGCTCTCTTCTTCTGCTCCTCCCTTCACCCCAGAACTTCTCCGCTTCACACCACATAAGGGAACGGAGATGGCTCTGGTACCTCATCCATCACCGCCGGGTGTCATTGGTCTGCAGCCTGGTGCACCTCATTTTGGACAGATCAATGGGGCTGCGCCGGTCGACGCGCATATGCAACGCCAACGCCTTCTGGCGCAGTTGAATGAATCAACATGGCAGAGAATAGGTATGCCTTTGGAGCCATCCTCTTCCTCAATTAGTATGCTGATCGCGCTCAATATCAGCGTCGTTGAACGAATTACTCGGAGACCACGAGGGGGCTCTGTTCGCATATGAACAAGCTCTCAGACACAACCAGTGGTCCACCCAGACCTTGAATGCGATTTCACATATTCTCCGGACAAAGGAGAAGTACCCTGAAGCTATGGAATATCTTAAAAACATCTTAAAGGTCGAGCCTGCCAATGGCGACGCGTGGGGGAATCTAGGTAAGCGCTGCGCACGCCGCGTCGAGAACGAGAGGCTGACAGCTGCAGGCCACTGCTATTTGATGATGGACAACCTGCAAGAGGCATACACTGCCTATCAACAAGCCCTTTACTACCTACCAAAACCCAATGTAAGCAATTCGACCCGCGCGCCGCCTTCTCAATAGAACTAACATGACGGTCAGGAGCCCAAGCTCTGGTACGGCATCGGCATCCTCTACGATCGATATGGTTCCTTGGAACACGCCGAAGAGGCCTTCTCTCAGGTCATGCGCATGCAACCAGACTTCGAGAAGGCCAATGAGATCTATTTTCGGTTGGGAATAATTTACAAACAGCAACAGAAGTTCTCCCAAAGTCTCGAAGTAAGTCGACTCACATCTCACAGGCGCTGGTTGCCTCTTGCTGACGCTTCCTCAGTGCTTCAAGTACATCGTCAACGATCCCCCACGCCCTTTAAACGAGGAAGACATTTGGTTCCAGATTGGCCACGTGTATGAGCAGCAGAAAGATGTAAGTCGATATCGTCCCTCCAGTAAGCGGCCCTGCTGACTTCTGTGTGCAGTTTGAAGCCGCAAAACAGGCGTACAGGCGTGTCTTGGACCGAGATCCGAAACATGCCAAAGTGCTACAACAGCTCGGCTGGCTGCATCATCAACAGAGTAACAGTTATGCCAGTCAAGATCAGGCCATTGAGTACCTAGAACAGTCGGTCAGCTCAGGTAAGTGTCACTCTCAATCTTTTCTCAAATCTTCTTACTGACCTTCTTGAAGACAACTCCGATGCGCAGAGCTGGTATCTACTCGGCAGATGTTACATGGCACAGCAGAAGTTTCCCAAGGCATACGAAGCTTACCAACAAGCCGTTTACCGTGATGGACGCAATCCCACATTTTGGTGCTCCATCGGTGTGCTGTATTATCAAATAAATCAGTACCGAGACGCACTCGATGCGTACTCGCGCGCCATTCGGTTGAATCCGTACATCTCGGAGGTGTGGTATGACCTGGGAACACTGGTGAGCGACCCCCCGCAGGTAAATCGTAACCTTTTCCTTGCTGACGACTGGTACAGTATGAATCTTGTAACAACCAAACCTCTGATGCTCTTGACGCATATGCCAGAGCAGCTGAGCTTGATCCCACAAACAATCACATCAAAGCCCGTCTTGCCCTTCTGAGAAGCGGAGCAGCAACGGGGCCTAATCAGCACAATGCGCCTGTCCCGCAAGATGTCCATCCTCAGGCATATCAGAACGGTGTTGGCGTTCCTCCTGGTCCTCAATGGGGCGGACCTTCTTCCTCAAACCAGCAGTCTCAACAACCTCCAGTCGATCCAGCTCGCGTCAATGACTGGGCGCGAGGCATCGCAGGCATTAACCCGCCGCCGGGACAACAGTCGCAGACGCAATCGCAGCCTCAACAGCAGCCCCAACCACAGCCGCCGCTGCCGCCGTCGCAGCAACCACCGAACGGCTATGAAGGACGCGATTCTATGAGAGCGCCACCCCCACGGGCTTCTAGTCCACGTCAGGACGGACCGCGTCCTTATGATACATCGCGCCAAACGCCGGTTCGCAAGTTGCAATCGCCGTCACCTAAGATGCAACCAGCTAACCCAGGGATGTTCCCGCCTGGGCCGCAGACTCTGCCGCAAATCTCGATGCAGGACCGTCCTCCAGCTTTCGGTAGTGGAGTCCGTCCGTCTCCAACGATGAATGGAGCACCGGCACCTCATACCAATGGCAGTGCCTCGGGCTCAACCCTTCCACCATATGGCAGGCCTTTCAGTCCACCTAGTGAGCTGCGGCCACTTAGAGATGAACGACCACAATCCCCCGGTAGCGGTTATCGCCAACAGCCATTCCAGTCTAGCCAACCTTTCCCTAGCATCACTAACGGCGTGGCGTCCGCCGCACCACCTCTTCCTGCTGTGGAGGGACCTCCTCGGGATGATCGCCCTCCCTCCGCTATGAAACGGACGCGTGAGTGGGAGTCCGATGGAGGACCTTCCAAGAAAATTGCAAATGAAGAGACTCGTGCACGTTTAGAAGATCCGACTCGTCGCAATAGCCCTCCAGGGCGTTTACCTACTCCGAAGGACCACTACAGGCGGAGTTCATCCGAGTCTCGTCGTGAGACTGAACGGCGAGCAAATGAAAACTACCACCCCTCAGAGGCTGCACACCATCCTTACACACACCCCCAGCAGATCCCGTCGATGCAGTCAATCTTGGACACTCAAAAAGAAGACCGGAAAGAGCAGGTGGAACAGGCAGCTCGTAAAGTCGACGTGGATGAGGATTATGATAATAACAGTGAGGATGATAAGCGGGCTCCTCCTTCGGCAGCTCTGAGCAGCCCCCAGGTGGCGGCGCCTCCATCAGTGACGCCAAAGCAAGAGAATGCACCGTGATAGATTTGGCGTTGGTCGAGGGTTTTTGCTATTTTGATTTCGCTGTTGTCATGGGTTTGGCTGGATTTGTGCAGCGGTGAGGTTGTGCCGGAAGAATCACCATTGGAAAAAGATCCACAGTCGCATTGCTACTTGATTCTGTAAAATGAGTACATGTATCTTCTCGGAAGAATACGAAATTACGACATTCTAGTAAGCGTTGGCCACGATGGTTTTTGAAGGTTCCTGTTCGCTGGCTACTCGATGCGTAGCGACTGGTCCAAGGAGGCGGAGAAGTTTTTGCGGAATCGGTTAAAGTCACGTGATTTTGAAAATCTTGGCGACTCGGGCCGCACTTTATCGAAATATGAATTTCTGCGTTGCACATTGACCACTCTAACTTCAGCTTGACAAGCCCCGACACCTTGACCCTCGTTCAAACAAGATGTGAGTGCTATTCAGTTTCAATAAAGACTTCTGCTAATAGCTGGTATAGGTCTCACCGAAAGTTCGAGGCGCCGCGACACGGTACAATTCCTCCCACCTGAAAACTGCTGAGAAAAAAAGAGCTCTGAACTAACACATTTCTCTCACAATAGGCTCGCTTGCTTTCCTACCCAGAAAGCGAGCTGCAAGACACCGAGGCAAGGTCAAGAGGTAGGATACTCTGGTTCTCTAGAAGTCATGACTCGTCTTTCAAGGAGTCGAAGCTGAAACATTTGGTCCAGCTTTCCAAAGGATGACCCAAAGAAACCAGTCCATCTCACCGCTGCTATGGGATACAAGGCCGGGATGACCACCATTGTCCGCGATCTTGATAGACCTGGCGCGAAGATGCACAAGAAAGAGATTGTCGAAGCTGTCACTGTGATCGAGACGCCCCCGGTTAGTCCCACAATGTCGACATCGGCGTTTACGTTGTTGCGGCTGACAGTTTACTAGATGATCGTCGTCGGCCTCGTCGGCTACATAGAGACACCCCGCGGCCTGCGGTCCCTTACCACTGTGTGGGCAGAGCATCTGTCTGACGAAGTCAAGCGCCGCTTCTACAAGAACTGGTACCGGTCGAAGAAGAAGGCATTCACCAAATACGCAAAGAAACACTCGGAGAACAAAGGTTCCTCGATCACTCGGGAACTCGAGCGCATCAAGAAATACTGCACAGTCGTCCGTGTACTTGCTCATACTCAAATCCGTCAGACACCCCTCAAGCAAAAGAAGGCGCACTTGATGGAGATTCAGATCAACGGTGGCAGCGTGGCAGACAAGGTCGAATTTGGCCACGGCCTGTTCGAGAAGCCGGTTGAGATTGACACCATCTTCGAGCAAGACGAGATGATTGACTGCATCGCTGTCACCAAGGGTCATGGTTTCCAGGGCGTCACCAGCAGATGGGGCACCAAGAAGCTTCCCAGAAAGACGCACAAGGGTCTGAGAAAGGTTGCCTGTATTGGTGCCTGGCATCCTTCGCACGTCCAATGGACTGTTGCCCGCGCCGGTCAAATGGGTTACCATCATCGTACCTCTGTCAACCACAAGGTCTACCGCATTGGCAAGGGCAAGGATGAGAAGAATGCGGCCACCGACTTCGACGTCGTGAACAAGCAGATCACCCCGTAAGTTTTGTCCCGTTTTACCTCTGTTTGTCTTGAAAAATATTAATATGGTTGTATAGCTTGGGTGGTTTCGTCCGTTATGGCGAGGTCAAGAACGACTTCGTCCTCCTCAAGGGCTCTGTCCCCGGCGTCAAGAAGCGAGTCATGACCCTGCGCAAGTCCATGTTCCCTCACACCTCTCGCAAGGCTCTGGAGAAGGTCGAACTCAAATGGATCGACACGTCGTCCGAGTTCGGTCATGGTGCATACCAGACCCCTCAGGAGAAGAGGCAGTTCTTGGGTACGCTCAAGAAGGATCTTGTTGCTGCTTCATGAGGATGACGACGGTTTGTTGGAGGCGGTCTTGGCTTCAGCAAAAGGATATGCTCATCTTTATGCTCGCCCGTCAAGAAGAGATGAGCCGCGCATGCACGAGATACCAAAAGAATTTCCTGTTCTCCTTTGATTTACGAGCGGGATGAATAGCATGGCTTGTCTTGCCATGGGAGTAGGAAGACAAATACAAAATTTCAGGCAAATGACTTGATTTCTGGTTCTTGTTGCCTTCTCTTTTTATCTTTTTGGGTGCACTTGCGCGACTTTGGTTGAAGCTCTGCTCAAATAAGTCATGAAAGTCGTGATTATCTGTCCATATCATACTACTCTGCGACGCCGTTTGCAATAATTGCCCTCGAAGGAAGCCTTGCATTTGCTCCTAGGCCACAAGCTTTTTCTACCTGGAACTTCGAGTCCTACAATGGAACCATTACAATTTGCAGGCCCCGAAATTTCCTTGTATTGTGACAGTCTATCGAGCCCAGCATCCTACGCAGCCTTTTGCGATTGCAACAAGCATCGTTCGTCCATGGGCCACGCAGCTGTCAGTTTGCAAAGTGCTCGATTGACCTCGTTCGGATCGGCCGGAGGATGCATTATTGTTGGTTTCCTCCAGCCGGTATCCAGCCACGCGTCGGCGGTGGAAGCGGACTGTGGGTATAGAAGCTTCAGCAGTTTCCACGAATATGTCTTGTGGGAATTTCAGTCGCAACAATACCGTTTCCACACATACCCTGCAGACTCATCTCATCGGCTTCGGACACTGTCTGACCCCGTTTCTTGCCACAACCACATCTACTCCGTGTGAGAAGGATTACTCACCTACTCGTACGTACCGCCTTCGTTGAGTACCTGGTCATAACAAAACTGGACCTGTGTCAGCACTGCGGCTTAGCATCTGTGGCCCCCAACCATCTCGTAGCGACATGCAAGTATAAGCATGTTGAAGTGTACCTCTCACGGGAGGTGTTAAGCTCACGAGGTTCGTGGCGCCAGAGGTCGTTTCTAGGAGTCTTGTGGGCAAGGTCAAACCCACATTCTTCACCCTCTATTTGCAGATGTAGCCAGTCGCTGGTGTTCGCGCAGGATGAAGCGGTATGTTCACGTCGAGACTCAGGAGAAGCAGTCGTGCGCGCTTGATGGCCACTCCTGCCACTTAACAACCTGGTGGTACGCATGAAAAGGTGACGTCATTGTTGAATCCGGGCTGGGCCATCTTTTTCACACAACCACAGGCATGTATCATATTGACCATTCGGAGTCACTTCCATAGTCAAATGCTGCAGTACCGGGCGTTGATACATTGTCGCAGTCAACAAGTTATTACACAGTCTCCTCGTTTCACCTTGCAGCAACATCAACAGCAGAAGATACTAGGTGCTCGTTGGCGAGTTTTGCGAACCAGCCTGAGAGCAGCAGCGTGGACGCACCCGGGAAAATCTAGAGCAATCAGGACTCCAAGATCCTCTGATCATCGTCCCTATTCCGTTGTCATCAAGGCACCAGGGTCATCGACACCTTCCTCAAACATCGCTTCCCACCACACCAACAACATGTCCGACGACAGTTCCTACCTGTCGTTCCTCGAAAAGGCCAACGCGAACCCCAAGGCCGGCCAGACCCTCGCCGAGTCCGAGTCGACGTCTCAGCAGCGGTCGCGACTGGACCCGACCAGCTCGTCGTCAGACGCCTTGCCGGCTTCCCTGAAGGCGCTGCCGGACGTCACCTACACGTCGGAGACGGACTCGCCGTTTGAGCCTGTCCTGTTCAACTACTCCGGCTCCGAGCTCCCCAAACCGGAAGAATTCGTCAACTGCCTCACGCCCACCAAGTCGGGCGATGGCGGCCCCGTTGTCGAGGAGTTGAATGTTGGGGATTTTGACCCCAGAGGGCAGTACGGCGAGGTCGTCCAGAGGGTGGAACAGGCGGGGAAGGGGAAGGCGGGGGTCAAGGTTTATAGAGTGGAAATGAGCAAGACGAGAGTCGATTATTATATCTTGACCGTGGGGGAGAGGATGTTGGTCGGTGTTGTGACCAAGGCGGTGGAGAGTTAGGGAAGAGATCAGAAAGAGAGTCCACCGAATGAAAGACCTCTACCCAGGAAAACTCTATGACCACTGAAATACGACCCTAATATCACGCACGTCGTCGATACCAGTCCTTCATGCGGTGCTCTATACGTGAAAAAGAAAACGAGAAAAAGAAAATTCCATGCAGGCGTGTATCTAAAGAGATACATCCAAAGCCAATCCTCAAGGTCGCTCGCTAGGGCACCACGTCAAGGAGATCATGGCCTGACCAAGAGTTCTACTACTTTCAAGTCAAGAACCCAGTCAGTACGCCGATCTTCGAATCTGTGTGTTTGGAGGACCGACAAAGCATGCAATATGCACGCGCACGCATTACCGTACCGAGTACTCTTCTGGAAATATCTCCTCCAAAGGCAATTGGTGCTCCGTATGTACAGTAGTACGGTAGTCCATAGTCCAACCCCCATATAGCCCATATAGAACCCACGAAACGGATCATGAAGCCCATCCGGAGTCGTCAACGGGTATCCACCACAGGCCGGAAGAATTCGCAAGCGTTTAGAACAGGAACCATTCGGGATAGATACACGCAGATAATTATCGAGGCAATGGATAGCAAACAGGGGATATACTGGAGCCCAAGGTTCGGATATTCAGGGTAGGTATTTCACACGACCGATCCAGTGCCAAATCAAAAGGGGATAATATACTTGTACGAGTTATCGAGTACAGGATTGCAGCATACATGTGGGGATTTCAGCCCCTGGGACAATATCCGAAGTTACATCGATAAGAAACAGGGGGAAACCTCGTTGAGACTCGAGACACTGTACAAGTACGAGGTGCCTCGTAGTAAACCTACTCGGTACTTGGTACTTGGTGCCTACCAGCAACGCGTCACCGTTGACTGGCCGCGTCAACGCCTTGTAGCAACCCTCGTAGCGGTGTCTAAGTCGAAGCTGAAACAAAAATGGACGATGGGCGCTGACCAAGGGCAGGGATGCACCGTTATAACACAGAGGACAAGATTCTTGAGAGGTACCGAGTATCCATCATACCATCTTCTGTCCATTTCATATCACTCTGCAGTATTCTAGAGCTCTCGAAGGATGCTCTCAGTCTGTCCAGCCTTCGGAAAGTCCTTCCTTGGCATGGAGGTTTAAGAATAGAAGGAAAACGGCGAAGGATGTGCATGTGCAAGCTGGTTCTCTGGCCAGTCGTGCTGTGCTGTGGCGGTTCCCCCTGAATGGCGAACGCGAATCAAAATGAGAGCAAACAGGCGAAATCAAGGCTCCCCGTCAGATTGTTCTAGGATCCTATCCGCCCCCCACTGCTTCGAGTCTCCGAGCGTCAGCAGCACAGTGATTCGACCACAGTAGCGCCACTCACGGTCGTGATTTGCTCATCCGTCCTCCTCGTAGCTTGTACCTACCGAATGCTCGAAGCAGGCTGATGGGGCTCAGCAAGAAATGTGAAGGCGTCCAAGGGTGAAGCTGCACACGGAATGGGGCGCTGCTGTGCCACTACCGCACACGAACGCGTCAACTCTTTTCGGAGGCCGCTGGTACTGGGTTTGTTTTTGGCCAAGCGCACTCCTCTCTCCTGTTCTCCTTGGCCCATTTGCTTGGATCTGGGTGGGTAGGTGACGCTGTGGGCCCCGACAAAGTCTCGGCCAGGGGGATCGAGGAAATCATGACTGAGGAAAGGGAGATCTGCATGTTAACCTGAGACTTGGAATCAGATCAGAGCACTTTCAGACCAGGCTGGCAGCTGCACAAACATACACCTCTTCACTCGACGGATGTGGAATTGAACTAGCAGTGGCAGTGAGAGGTATCAGGGTTCATGGTTGGAAGGGACACGAGCACAATCCAAAGAAAGCAAAAAAAAATACGATCTGCTGGTGTTGTGCAAATGATAATGGAAGGCCGCAGTTTACAGGGTGCAGGTAAGGGTTGTGTACAAGGACGAAGAGTAGCGAGAGGGAGAGGATGGAGGAACAGTGCCTCCTCTCAGCCGCCCATCTCACAGCCAACGATGCAGGTACCGACTCCCGAGAACAACAACAAATATTATGCTGCCACACTCTTGGAAACCCCATCAAGATGGGCAAATGCCAGCATATCTCATCTCTATCAAGTCATTGCCCAGAAGAACTCCTCAACAAGGTGTTTCTTACTGATAGTGTAACTGGACTCGAAACCGGCGACCCATTTTATTATAGAGGGTCTGAAATTCACCTGCGATCCCCTTAATTCAGGGTCATCGAATGCGCTCCCCGGGGCTGAGATGAGGCCCTTGGAGGCCCAGCAGTTTGGAGTTACAGCTGAGGCTGACCACCTACTAGGCACAGATCACTACGGCACTAAAGCTCGGCAGTGGGCCGCTTAAAGGGACCGGAGCACCTGCGCGTCCACTAAAGTTTAGCCCGATAGCCCAATTGTCCAATTGCCCCGTGGTGCCCCCCTCGCCCACTAGCCCTGTAGGCCTTTGCCAAAGCCTCTTCTGCTGTTCTACCATCTGCTAGGTAAACTCTTGTATCCTGAGAAACCTGCCAAACTGCGCGTGCCTGTGAGGCCAACACAAACACCATCTTCTTTGTTCGTTTGCTCGACAGATCCTCTGCTGTTGAAGCAGTTACGTTCGTTTCCAATCCACCCCGTCTCTTTACCTCGCAGTTCTCTACCGACCTCGAAACCCTCATTCTGCTCCTCCAGAATCTCTCCTTTTCAGCTGGCAGAAGCTTGTCCCTTTCCTGCTGGCCAGAAAGGAGCACCTACAGTACCTCGTGCACGGCCATACCACAAACTCACCACTGCGAGGCCCTTTCCGCTCTTCACGATCACGAGCAACTTGTTCCTCTGACCCTGTCGGCGTCTTATCCTCTATTGCCCCCGGCCTCCTTGCTATTTTCAACCACCTGTTCGCCTAATCTGCACTGCTTACGCTCTCATCGGTCGGCCTCCTCCATTCACCGTCCTTCGAGACTGCGGCCGGCCCTAAGACATACTTCCTTCAGAGCCTCGACCCTAAAACCGACTCAGCCCTCCTCTCACTCATCTCTTTGGCCGACCAAATACTGTCCTTGCACCCCGTTCCTTCAAGTGTTGGCGATCGATCTCCCTGACGACGAGTCGGTCGCCATCTTATAATGTCGTCTCACAGCAACAGCAGTTCCTCATCACCTCCACGAGTTCCTCCTCATATTCGTCTCAATTCGGGTCAAGAAGACTTGCTCAACGCCGATGCAAGCAGTTCCTCGAGGACTCTTGTCCCGACAAACTCTAGACCGACAACAGCCCGGTCACAATTAAGCAACGTCTACCCTTCAGATCAAGTCCAGGATTCGGCTGAAAGACTACTACCACCAGTCACAGGCCGCTCAAACAGATTCAAAGATGACGGCGGCTCACCCCTAAGGTCCCCCGTTCGCTCGAGTTATTCTTCTCGCCGATCGAGCTGGGAGTCGGACCGGAGCAGGGATAGCAGAGGCTTCGAAAATCCGTTCAGGGATCAAAGTCAATCAAGACCAGGCTCAAGAGCCGGCAGTGACGACAACGACGTCAACACTCAAACGGTATCAGAAAAATATAATATTCTGCCATCTGCGGGACTTCTCCTATTCCCAGAGGATGTTGAAAAAGACGACTACCTCCATAACCCTGATCCCAATGACAAGGACCGAGACTGTGATATTTTCAACAGAAGAGGCTTAGTCAATGTTGGTGGTCTTGCCCTGATTACGCTAGGAATATTGGTCCTTTTTGTGGGATATCCAGTTTTGTTCGTTCTCGTCCCTCATTGTCAAGCCTTGGTCTATGTGCTAATGGGCTCGTTTAGGACCTTTGTTGAGAAGATAACGTCGTCACCAAACCCCTGCGCAGACGGCAACTCTTGCATAGGAAGTGGTAAGGTTCCATTACTGAAGAATATTCGCACTAGTCTCATCGATCCCGACACGCCTGAATCCGTCAAAACAAAGAAAGATTATCACGGAAATACATGGAATTTGGTCTTCTCAGACGAGTTCTCCAAGCCAGGACGGACGTTCTATGAAGGCGATGACCCATATTGGACTGCAGTGGACATCTGGTATGGAGTGACGAGGGATTTGGAGTGGTACGACCCCGATGCTGCCACCACCAACGATGGTGTGTTGGAATTGCGCTTCGATGCTTTTCAAAATCATGGCTTGAACTATCGCTCAGGCATGCTGCAGTCCTGGAATCAGATGTGTTTCAAAGGCGGCAGATTGGAGGCCAGTATCTCTCTCCCCGGTCGTGGTGATACGGTCGGCTTCTGGCCCGGTTTTTGGTCTATGGGCAACCTTGGAAGGCCTGGATACGCTGCGACAACAGATGGCTTGTGGCCCTACTCGTACGCAGACGTGTGCGACGCCGGTATCACTGCGAACCAGAGCTCTCCCGATGGCATCAGCTACCTCCCAGGCATGAGACTCCCAGCCTGCACATGCTCTAACGAGGACCATCCAACTCCTGGGAAATCCCGATCCGCCCCTGAGATCGACGTGCTGGAAGCAAGCGTCGGCACTCTTGATGCCGAGGGCAACCAAATCGGTATGGTCTCTCAGTCCTTTCAAGTGGCGCCCTTCGACATCTGGTATCAACCCAACTATGACTTCGTGGAAGTCTTCGATTTCTCGGTTACAGCCATGAATACATACAAAGGTGGACCTTTCCAGCAAGCCGTTTCGGGATTGTCCAATCTCAACAATGCGTGGTATGACGGGAACGCTTATCAAGTATATGCTTACGAATACACCACGGGGAACGATGGCGACATCACCTGGTTTGTCGGCTCGGAGCCTGTCTGGCGTATGGAAGCCCAGGCACTGGGTCCCAATGGAAATGTTGCTCAAAGAGTTATTCCCGAAGAGCCAATGTCGATCATTGTCAATTTCGGTATATCACCTGGCTTCTCTTCGCTGAATTTGACCGGATTAGCGCCTCTGATGCCAGCTACCATGCGAGTTGATTACATCCGCATCTATCAGGACGACAACGGCGAAATGAGCTGCGATCCTGAGGGATACGAGACGACCGAGTATATCAACAATCACTACGAGGTGTATCACAACCCGAATATCACGACTTGGTGAGTCTTGCCTGCCCCTATTGTGTCCAACCGAGCTAACCTCAGTTTCCAGGGCCGATACCGGCTACGGATGGCCAAAGAACTCGCTGGTGAATGGATGTTAATTTTAATCATAATGTTTCTTCGAAATCATTTCCAGCTGGCCGGTCACTGTCGGCGTGTACAGACGTCTGTTTGGTTCTTCAGCATTTAGCGGCATGGCAATTCAAGATATCGGCGTTTCATCGAGGTCATTTTGGACGGGCGGCGAATTGGGAACTACACGGAACTACCTCATTTTTGCGGGTATGAGCTGCCAAAAATCTTGTCTAAAATTTTACGACTGAAGCAAGGGAAAATCATGAAATTTTTCCCAGTACATTCGGCGACTTGCACAACTTAGAATGGGGGAATGGAGTTTCTTGACCACCACTTCGAGGAAGACAGACATAGGAAGGATATGTGCAGCCTGAATGCATTACAGTTGGGAGCGGTGATGCTATATGAGAGTTCTGAGAGTTGGAAGGAGGAGAGATTGGTGTCTAGATAACCTGTGCCTTGCCATCCTGGCTCATGGACGACATGATGGTTCCAGGACGTTATATCTCAACGCAAGCACATTTGAACACGTATCTCGATTCTTCTTTGATTGACTTGGCTGCAACTCTGGCTTGAACCATTTGATGTACGGCAAGAGTATTGAGTGTCGACGACACTAGGCGCACGTGCTGCACGACTCGGTAACTACCGCATTCTTGATGCATCGTTAAATTTGTTCCAGCTTCAGGATGGTCTATCTCGGAGGTATTCTCATTTCATGCCTCATCACATAACTGGCCTCCTTACACTCGAAGCACAATGTTCTCGGCTGAATTCTCCGGAGCCAGAAACCCAACCATGGGCACGGCCTCGATACTATATTCCTCTCACGGTTTGCCGGTAGATCAGGGCGTACCTTCGTCCGAGCAACCTCACAAAAAGGAGGATTACGAGAGTATACAACGTAAGCGGCGCGCAGAAATGATTCTCGCACAGTACGATCTGCTGATGAAGTACGCCGTGGAGAACAACCTGGTAAGGCCCAAACTCACACTGCAGTATCTTCCATTCGAGTACGGGGTCCACAGCTAACTGCTCGTGTGTAGTCAATACCCCAGACTCGACAGTATTTTCGGAAGGTGGCGTTGGGAATTCCCACGGAATCTATCATCAAGAATTGGTTCCCTAGTTGATGAGGCAAGATGGCAGAGATGGATGCACCACTTCGGCATCATTTGCGAGGAGGATCCAGAAATCAAACCAAACGCTCACGGTTCAAATATGAGTTGGAAAAGAACGTCGTACGATGGAAATGAGTCTCTATGGCTGGTTGAGTGCCCTTTGTTTCTGTTCTGATGTCACAATCCATCGGCTACGAAGTATTGAACTCTGTACACCCGTCTCCTCATTTCCTGCCTCATGCGTGTCACCTTTCTGCAGCCAGCCGGTGGTTATCGTCAACCTTGTTTGCGACAAGGCTGAAATATCACGTGTGTGCCATCTGGCACGGCTGAAAGAAAGGCTGCCGGCAAAACATCGGAATCTCCGATTTTAAAAAATGTTGCCCGCACTGGAGATTTTGACAGCCACACCGCACCCGGCGATTGTGTAGCAGTTGCGCTCGTCCATATTGCTGTCAATATGTCTCTCGAGGAGAGGTTGGCCAAGATCAAATCGCCGAATCTCCAGAGTCAACAGCATGTAAGTTTTGAGACCCCATTGCAAGCCTGTGCGAGTCCACTGACCCATCCACAGACTGCCGTGGTTCTGTCCTCGATCGAGGAAACCCTCACTGAGCAAAAGACGAAATTTACTCCCACGGCGTACTTTGCCGCTCTCCTCGCCCTTCTGAAACAATCTACTTCTCCCGGAAGTGATAATGAGGTCGTCACCTCGACCATTTATCTCCTCGACCTGATCACCTCGCACGTCCCCGCGGGCCTCCTCCGATCACAGTTTACCACGATCCTGTCCTTGCTGGGACCCTTCCTAAACGCCACTTTACAGAATGGACCTTTGCTACGGTCAGCAATAGGATGTCTGGAGTCGTTGCTGATTGCCCAAGATGCTGCGGCATGGAACCTTCCGCAGACCCAGGCCAGCCCTTGGCAGACCATCCCTGTGTTGCTCACGCTGGCTATTGACTCGAGGCCGAAAATAAGAAAACGCGCGCAGGAGGCCATAACACATATTCTGAAAAATCCACCACCTGGTCCTGCGATCGATCACCCCGCCGCCGAAATGTGCGCAATTGCTGCCCAGAACAACCTGAAGAACGCCGTGGACCAGGTACACCAGGTACGGCGGCAGAAGGGTCGACCGGACGATAGTCACGAGCCTGCCGTGATTCATGCTTTGCAGTTGACCAAAACTATTGCAGTAGCATCGGGTGGATGGCCAAGCAAAAAGATTGAGTCACTCTGCCAGTTGCTCCTGTCCATATCCAGATCGAAGAATGACTATTTGGTTATGAGCGCTTTTGAAGTGTTCGAGGTGATATTTGAGGGAATGCAGGACGAGGTCTCATCCTCAAAGTTGCCACGCTTGCTGGAAGCAATAGTGGATCTGAAACCTCCTCAGAACGACTCTCAGCTGCTTCCGCCCTGGATAGCAATCTTATCAAGGGGCTATGGTACGGCGGCAGTCGTTGAACCCGAAGACACCTTCGCCAAGCTGCCGGAGCTCTGCGACCTAGTGAGTCCGTTTCTCACGAGCCCATCTCACAACATCAGAGTCTCGGCATCGGAGTGTCTCATTTCGTTCTTTGCCAATTGCATCCCGGACAGCGTCATATCCGACCCGTCAGTATACGATGAAAAGGTGTTGGAGCAACTCTCAAAAAGGGCCCTTGACCTCTTGGCCGTAAAATATCAGACAGCCTGGATAGAAGTCTTCAGCGCATTGAGTGCCGTTTTTGACTCTCTGAGGTGGCGCGGGGATCCATTCCTGCTACCTATCGTCAAGGCAATTGGTGAGCTACGGAGTTATGAGGGATTTCAAGGCAAGAAGGAAGCAGACGAGGTCCTTGGGCATGCCATCCGCAACCTTGGTCCCGGCGCTGTATTAAGCGTCCTACCTCACAACCTCATCAGACCACAGCCAGGCCAGCCTGGTAGAGCGTGGCTTCTCCCCCTACTGAGAGACCATGTCTCCAACACGAACCTGGCACATTTCAGATCCGACCTAGTTCCCCTCAGCGAGGCGATGTATCAAAGGGTAATCAATCATGGCAACGCTGAGAAGACGATGGATATCAAGGTCTTTGAGACCGTGGTGCAGCAGGTCTGGGCTACATTGCCAGGCTATTGCGATCTTCCTCTCGATCTGCAGACAGCCTTTGACCAGCCATTCGCCGAGATGCTCTCGAACCTCCTTTACAAGCAGACAGATCTGCGAGTCGATGTGTGTCGAGGTCTGCAAAATCTGGTGGAGTCGAACCAGGCCCTCCTAGCGTCAGATCTGTCAGACGAGGTGCTTTTGCTCGAACGTCGACTACAGAGGTCTGATGCCGAGAAGAATATTCAGCACCTGTCCCAGTTTGCGGGCAACCTTTTGGCTGTCTTATTTAATGTCTACAGTCAAACACTGCCTCAGTCTCGTGCATACATTTTACGATGTATCAACAGCTATCTCAGCATCACGCCCGAAAAGGATTTGGTGGACACTTTTGAGCGAGTGTCGACGATGCTTCAAGATGCACTTCCGAAAGCCGATCAGTCACTTCCCAAAAAGGAACCGCTTCAGCCATCCGCCAGCAGACTCCCTCCGACCTCTCACACATTACTTGATCTTGTTATTGCGCTTTCTGTTCACTTACCAAGATCGACATTCTCCTCGCTCTTCGCCATCTCCTCCAACATCCTAACCAACCCGATAATACTCAAATCCGATCCGCAACTCATCAAGAAGGCTTATAAACTCATTCCGAGGCTGTCAACTTCCCCCACCGGTGCAGAGGCGCTTGCTGCCCGTAACAGCGAACTGCAGGAGTTGATTCTTCGAACTTCAGAAACGACACCCGTTCCTGCCCGCCGAGATCGCATCCTCGCGATTGATACGCTTGTCTCCTTCCTCCCTCTTACCGACCTTCATTTTATTCCCAGTATGCTCAGTGAGGTTGTCCTGGCTTGCAAAGACAGCAACGAGAAAGCCCGAACTGCAGGATTTGACCTCCTCATTGCTCTCACGGAAAAGATCTCCAGCCCATCCAATCCTCCGGGAACAATGATCCGCAACCGCCTGGTACCACACATGCCAGATGATTCCCCTGACGCACCAGCAACTCTTGAGGAGGTTTTCACCATGGTCAGTGCGGGGCTGGCAGGTGTGGCTCCGCATATGGTAGCCGCTAGCATCATTGCACTCAGCCGGCTATTCTTCGAGTTTCATACACGACTAAGTGATAAGACGAAGGAGGAGCTTGTCGATACCGTTTGCATATTTTTGCAGTCGAACAATCGAGAAATTGTGCGCGCGGTGCTTGGATTTGTCAAAGTTATGGTCGTGGTATTGCCTACAGAAATGCTGGAACCCAGAATGCCCAGTATTGTCCCCGGGTTGATGGTGTGGAGCAAAGAAAACAAAGGACGGTTGAGAGCCAAGGTCAAGGGAATATTAGATCGCTGTCTGAGGAGGTTTGATTCAGCCAAGGTCGAAAGCTGGGTCGGGGGCGATGATCGGAAGATGGTTGTTAACATCCGGAAACGGAGAGAGCGAGGACGGCGGAAGAAGAAGGGCGATGGAGAAATGGACGAAGATGAGGAGACGACGACGACGAACAAATATGACAATGAATTCGATGAGGCTGTCTATGGATCGGACGACGACGATTCCGAGATCGCAGGCAGTGACGATGAAGACGACGACAATGCTGCCATGTCAGGAGTTTCCTTCAAGAAATCTTCAGTGGATGGGAAGAGGCGAAGAAACGAACAGTATATTCGCCAGGACGAAGAAGATGACGAGCCGCTTGATCTCCTGGATCCACGAAGCATGGCGAGCATCGCCACCAAAAAACTCGGACGACTGAGGGATGTACAACCGGGAACGAAGAAAACGAAAGCACGATACAATGAGGATGGCAAGCTGGTCTTCAATGGCGAGCAAGAGGATGAAGGCGGCGATGTCGATGTTGTCATGTCTGGGTCAGGGAACCAAGACAACTCGATCAACGCTTATCTCGACGCAGTTTCCGGCGCCGATGCGGTAAGAAGAGGCCAGAAAGGAAGGCTGAAGGTCAAATCCGGGATGCAGAAGAAAACAAAGCAAGAGACTCGCAACCGAGACGATGAGGAAATGGAGCTGGACGTTGAAGAGGCAAGACAGGTTGCCAGACAGATTATGCAGGGCTCCGGATCTCCCAAGTCGCCCGGAGGAAAGGGAAAGGACCCGAAACAGCAAAGACGGGGACTGGGTGTTGAGAAAAGGAGAGACCAGTCTGAGAAGCAGCAATTCCGAGGCAGAAGCGGTGTCAGTAGACGAGGTGGTGGAAGAGTGCGATTTGGAGGCAGGGGTGGTGGTAGGCGATGAAAAGCCTCGCTTGATCCACGCCCTCGCCGTGTTTGGTGAGCATTATGCATGGCATAGGATGGTATGCACCCGAGGACTAATTCAACGGTTGACCAACGACGAAGACGGAGAGACATGGCTATGATGCCTTGAACGAAAGAGAGACGCTTTTCGTATGCGCCCTTTTCGTTTCTTCTTTCTTTTACTGTGATCTTCTCTCGTGGTCGCCGAGGTTATTTCCACTCGAGTAGTCCATATTCTCTATCCAACAAAGAGGACGACGTTGATTGATTACTCTACAGTTTGATACTACAATCAAGGCAACAATCCAGAAACAGCAAAGCGTCAACCTTTGGCATTACACTATGCTTCTTTAGCACTTTCCAGACCGCGCTAGCGAGGAAAACTATACCGAATATAGTTCTATCACTACGTCGTTGCTTGTGTATTTGGGGCTGCTCATCTCCCTATCTTCCTGCGCCTTTACAGGTATCTCCTCCAGCATGGTGGACCCATTGTGGAAATCACTGCTAGGCCATGTTTAGAAAGTTCCACGAGGTAACCACTCTTGGTCATACTACCTACTCATAACACTGGGGCTCTTGACCCCATGAAACCCCCCTGGTTGGCTGGAGTGGAACCAGTAAAAACCATGGAAGAGCCATTTTCTATACCTCTGACCTCTCGAAACCCGCCTCTCACGATGGCCAACGCCTTGTCTCCCCAAGGTTGCGTACATGAAGAATGGTTCTTATCAATCAGCCAGCTCTCTCTCTTCCTTTCTCAAGCCGTTGCTCCGGAAAGCTGACAAAACAAATCTGGCAGCGGCACTTGGAAGTGGAATGGACGTCCAAAACAGGTCGCTGATCCCAACAACATTATTAATGCTGGGTCCTGTTTGACCGAAAAGGGATTCAGCACTATCGTTGGGGGCTATCACGAGATGTTCAAAAAGGTCTGGAGATGTCGGCTTCATGGGTCGGAGATTCGATATATTTAAAGCGTGAAAAGATCCAGCTTCAGACGTGCTCACCTACGAGAAAAACAACAAGACAAAAAGACAACGCTTCTTCGAAAGAAATCCAAATTGAACCACCACCAGCAATATGGCTCGTTATATCCTTACCGGCACTAGTGGCCGTCTGGGCTCTCGAGTCCTCCGTCAAATTCTGGAAAAGAAGCTGATCCCGCCAAAGGATCTGATCATCTCGGCGTCAAGCCCGGACCGTGCCCCGGCGATTGCAAAAGAGTACGGTGTCGAGGTCCGTCGAGGCGACTACACGGACACGGCGTCCCTCAGGTCTGCCTTTACGGGAGGCGACGTGCTGTTCCTCGTCTCTCACAACGACCCCGGCGTCGAACGGGTCGAATATCACAAGAACGCGATCGAAACGGCGCGGGCAGTTGGTGTCAAGACAATCATCTACACCAGCATGATGTTCGGCGGCGAGACAGGGTTGGACAGCGTCATCGGGATCCAGCAGGGCCATATTCACACAACCAAGTACCTGGAGGAGTGTGGGGTGGAGTACGTGATCCTCCGCGAGGGACTGTACGCGCAGGTTTGGGGGTACTACGCCGGGCCGCCCGTGTCTGGGGTGTTTAAGAAGGGCGACACCCAGCCGCTGGAATGGGTCGTGCCCAACGACTCGTCCATCGCCTGGGTCGACATTGACGACCTCGCCGAGGGCAACGCCCTGGTCCTCGTCGACTACACCAAATATATCGGGCAAACGCTGCGGCTGACGGGGCCGCGATCCACGCCCGTGAGCGAGATCGCCAAGCTCGTCAAACAGCGCACGGGCCGCAAGGTGAACCTCCGCTTCGTGGGCAAGGATGAAGCCGTCAGGTATCACAAGGAGCACGGGAGCGTGCCCCGCGAGGCTCTCGGCTGGCTCGAGGACAACTGGGCCGGCTGGTTCGAGGGTCTCGCGAGGGGCGAGGGCGAGGTGGTCGATCCCTTTCTCGGGCAGTTGCTGGGACGGCTGGCCAGGGGCGTCGTGGAAATGGCTGATGAGTTTTTTACGCCCAAGTAGTTGGGTGAGTAAGGGGAACATTCAGCATGGCATGCAGTTGACAGAGCAAGGGCTGAGTGAGAGAGCCCGTCAAGGTGAATAGTATGATTTCAACAATACAACCTCTTTTCTCCTCTCCATTGGGTGTGGAACTCGTCACACACAAGGGCGGGAAGGCTGAACCTGAGTCCGTCAAGATGAACCTATAAAATATTCCTATAAATCCGATAACGAAATCTGCATATAATTCTGTGTGGCCTCTTCAAAGTGGGCTGCCTGAAGGAGGCGGGAGTTAATGGAGGAATTCATCGGGATACATAAGCCTCTGTTCAACGGCAACTCCGTCACTGATCGAATAGCTCTTTCCTATTCTTCCCTTGCAATTCCCCTCCTGCCCAGCACATCTCTACCGACCATTGAGGACACACGGTCAGACCTTCAATCTCGACATTACTCTCTGTATATGGGGTTCCGCCAGCTTCCCCGCCTGACGAGCAAAATGGGACAAGGCACTCGCGACGCCCTCGCTTAGGTGGCGTACATATCCATGTTCCCCTCCAATCGCCTCCTGCCAACACAGCCGTTGCCTTGTTCATCATGCCTTTGACCGGGGGTTGCCATGCCCACTCCCCTCCCCCCCACGGCGCCTTGCAAAAGTACGGTCCCAAAGTGAGTGCAGAAGCAGGTCGCTTTTGTCTGAATACCCACGGGAAACGTACACTGTTGAAAACGACTGTTAAGTGAAAATCCTAGGCACGGGGGTCTCCAGAGCTTCCATTTGCAGAGCTTCTACCTGAACCAAAGTCCTCACACGACAAGGCATCAATGGAAGCATCCGAAAAAAAATCCCCGGGCGGTCGCGGCGGTCCTGGATCCTGTCGCTCTTGTGCAAGGATGGTTGAAAATCGCAACTACAGGCCCAGCTATGCTCACATCCACAAATCTGGACAGCAGGGATGCAATCGCTGTTGGATCATCGCACGAGCCGTGCAAGCCATTTTTGAGGAGTACAAGCTGCTCGAGTCTGACAAGCAGATCAGGAGCCTATCCCTCGAGAGATTTGGCGACGACATCGATGAGATCTCGTGCGGCTGGAAAAGAGGAAGTTTTCGGGTCCAGATCTTTGTGGAAGACTCGGCCGCTCTCGCTGGGCACCTTGCATGGCTACCCGTCAGGCGCAACATTACGCTGGAACGAGACGCTTGCTTGCAGTTTGCATCCGACGCTTTGCGGACCTGTGTGCGTGAACATGGGCGGTGCAAACCAAGCTCGGGGTACATACCGAAGCGCCTTGTCGACGTGGGCATCGAGGGGACCGAAACCGTCAAAGTCGTTGACGAAGCTCGCTCTAGTGTTTGCAAAGGGACTCCCTATGCAGCCTTGAGCTATTGCTGGGGCCCTCAGTCGGAGACCAAATGCGCAATCTTGACCATGACAGCGCACAACCTGAAGGAGATGGCTGAGGGGATTCCCGTTGATAGAAAGTTGCCCGCGGTGTTCTGGGACGCCATCAAAACCACTCGATCTCTTGGGATCCGATATCTATGGATTGATGCACTGTGTATTGCTCAAGGAGACAAAGAAGAGTGGCAGACCGAGTCTCTGGCAATGCGACAGATCTATGCTGGGGCGTATCTGGCCATTTCGGCAGATGCAGCCTCCACCTGCGACAGGTCGTTCCTCGCTATGCCCGACAGATTATGGAGGCGAGGTATCGAGATTGGCTCACATCGATTCGGCACCAAGATCTATGCGAGATTGCTCAATGATGGGGATCCCAATCGGGGCGGACCTATAACTGGCCCCTCGTCTGAAGAGGAGGAATACAAGCTGCATTCTCGAGGCTGGACGTTGCAAGAGCTTCTGCTCAGCCCGAGACTGGTCTACTTCCGACGCGACCAGGTTTATTTCAGTTGTGCAGAGGGAAAGCTGTCAAGGGAAGACGGCGAGAACCCGGCGTGGGTGGGCCGTCACGTCGGCCTCTCGAGGTTGGACGGGTTGCGCCAGATGTGGTTGCAAGAAGCATCACGGCCACAAAACACCTTAGGTTCATCCTGGGCCGCCTCGAATGACATGCTTCTGGCCCTCTGGAAGCATCTCTTGGTCCAATACACCACCCGAAAGCTCTCCCAACCAGACGATAGGCTCCCGGCCATCTCTGGTCTGGCATCCCAGCTCAAACAGAAATTCCACCCGCACTATGGCTATTGCGCCGGTCTTTGGAGGGAGGATTTTGTGAGGGGATTGTGCTGGAGTCACGACTACGACTATTACGACGACGATGACGACACGGTTAGGACGCGGATTGCGCCCAAGAATTCTCCTTCCTGGTCGTGGGTGTCCTGTCCTGGTCGGGTGGCGCACTCGTGGGACACGAGAGGTCAACCTCTGGTTGAATTGATATCTCTGAATCGTCTTACGGAGGGGGACGACCTCAGCCACAACAACGCACCAATTCACGAGACAATGCAGGCTCTCCACATTTCATCTCAAGACCAGGAATTTGGTCACACTGGCTGTGTGGAGGCTACGATAGAAGGCCCAGTGCGCGAGGCTGAGCTTCGAGGCGTGAACGGTTCGAAGCAGTACATAGAGAGCCTCGACAGCTATCCCCTCGGGCTCCAGATGGATCACTGGGCTGACCCAGGCGGCTGGCTTGGAAGCGCAAGGAAGGAGGCTTGGGGTGTTTGGAATCGTCACGGTGGTAAGGTCTTCCTCGTCGCCCTGGTTCGAGATTGGCGAGAGATCATGCACCTTGTCTTGGTCAGGTCTGCCACAACGCCCGACAGATACGTGAGGATCGGAATCTGTCAAGGCAGGGTTGAGACCCGGAGACCAGACTTGGACAGGAACGCACTAGCAGACAAGTGGCTGGCGAGTTTTGAGCAGAGACGCATCATACTCATTTGAGTCGGTCGCCTTGGGTATCAAGATCCTTTGCGGTAGATCTAATGAGTGGTTCTGGAATCATTATCACTTCATCGAAATTTCGGGTGGTTGGATTGAATTCCTGACTACGAGACATGTGAATCTCAAGAAGCATTCATCGATTCTATATCAACAATTCCGGGTGATAAGTTGTGGAAAAAGGGGAAGAGGAGCCGGCGCTACATTTATCCGTCACTGCCATGAAACCCAATTCTGAGATGCACGTGATCATATTCCGACTTCAATCCAATTTGCTCTACCTCAAATACCGAAGAGCCCATCTCTTCGCAGGCAATACAAGAAGATCCATTAAGCGCCACTGTATAGTAACTTGACTTGGAGACCGGTCATTTTGACTACGCAACTATGTGCCGCATTTGCGGACGCACGATCAAATGCATCTTTGACTCGATGCCCTCAAGGGTGCACTCATCCGTGCCGAAACCGTGAGCCTCTTTCTTCAATTCGCAGAACTCGCGGAGAAAAAAACCCGGTGACTGACTTTCGCGGTGGGAGTAGCAGCAGATCCCTGCTCCGGCCTCACCAGACAAGATCTCACCATGTCTCATCGCGGACCCTCGTGCAGAGCGCCCTGAACATATCGTCAAAGCCTGTGGCCGCACCGCCCACATTTCTCCTGCCGTTCCGCGCAAAGCTTCACCAGACCAGGACGCGACCGTCCACGACGACGCCGATATCCCAATTCCAGAACACTCAGCCTGAGATCCCCCCGAGTTATCTGTCCGTAACAGCCGACCCGACATCCTCGTCACCTTCCGCCACCGCGACCACCACGTCGGTATTCGCTGGGCGCGCGACCACACAACCTCTCGACCAGCCCCTCGTCCTCTCGCGGTCCCTGCAAACCCTTCTCCCCAAGCTCCACGTCCAAAAACCGCACTACATCGTCACGCACATCCACCGGTTCCCGTACCTCCTCACGGAGGGCGACACGCTCCGCCTGCCGTTCCACATGAAGGGCGTGTCGCCCGGCGACGTCCTGCGGTTCAACCGCGCCAGCATCCTCGGGTCGCGGGACTACACGCTCAAAGCCGGGACCGCGGCCACCGAGTCCTACGACAAGCGCCGCACGGGCGAGCCCAACTACCTCGACGAGAGGCTGTTCGAGTGCCGGGTCCGCGTCATGGGCATCGAGACCCAGCCCATGACCCTCAAGGAGAAGAAGAAGCGGCGCAACCGGCACCGCAAGATCGTGCGCAGTAAGCACAAGTACACGCTGTGTCGGGTCATGCAGGTCCGCGTCAAGGCTCTGGACGAGTTGATCCAGGGAGAAAAGGGGATGGTGCTCCTCGAGGGCCAGGAGAATGAGAACGGCAACGACAATGTCCACGCGCAGTAGTTACTCGATTTCCTTTCTCCGGGGTTCGATACGCGAGGCGCTCTTGTACGAGGTACTTTGTAGGGAATACTTTCGTGGTGCGAGTCAGGGATCCGGACACCTGTGTAGATAGATCATCTGTCTAGCGGAACAGTCCAGCTTTGGACGGTACTCGTGTTATGCCACTGAAGTGCAATGTTGGCCAAGGACACAAAACGTCTCACTCGGATGTACAGAAAAAGTCCCGTGTCGAATTATATACAATATGGTTTTTTTTTGTCCTACTAAAATATATCCGCCAAAGGAAGAACTACTTTGCTTGCTTGCTTGCTTAGTTGCTTGCTACCCTAGCAACTTACATAGGTAGTAGGTAGGTAGGTAGGACCAAAGGACCGGATCATTCGATATACATCCGCTCCTAGACTCCCCAAAACACCCCTTGTTATTGGAAACGCCCCCCTCCCCTTCCCCCTTCCCCCCGTACGTGCGTGCGCCCAAACATTGTGGAATGATTCATGGGGAAACAGGAAAAAAAAAGAAAAATAACCGAGCAGGAAAGGAACTTCCCTTCCTTTTTCCCCATTTTGTTCGTTACTTTTCATTCGATCTGCCTGCCTGCTTGCATGCTTGCCTGCCTGCATCCAGTCATGGGAGAAAGATCGCTTCATTCGTAAAGTCGAGGCTGTCGTGTATACACGTCACGCGTCCATCAGCAACCCCAGCAACCCAGTAACTTCCCCAGCCAAACGACTCGTCAAATGCATCAAACCAAACGTATTACTTGTAGAATTGGGCCGGGATGTTGGAATGTTGGAACCTGCAAATTTCTTCATATGTCGCACAAGAAGATGAGCCAAACACCCAGAGGTGTAGAGTCGGAGAGCTGTGATCAAACGCAGTGCTGATAAGGCTGGATGTTGTTCTGTCTCATTTTTACCTCACCTCGAAGGAAGGGAAGGTCATGCGGTCGCGGAGGTTGACTTTGAATTCGAAGATCCCTTCTTCAGAACCCGCGTACCTGTATCCCACTGGGTCAGCACAAGCCTTGCCTTTCTTTCTCGCACAGGGAAAAAGGGCTCTCCCTTTCCCAACTGCTCTTGAACAGGTGACCAGACTTACAGGAATTGCCCATCCGGACTAAACCCGATTCCCGTTGTCCCTAGCTCGATCAGACCTGCTGCTCCTGTGGCCGCTGTAGGCCTCCCAGGAGTATCCGTATTGCGTTGCAACGCAGATCCATTCGCGGGAGGCAACCAATTTCCATTGGCATCCACTGATCGGTTTCCAGTCACGCCGCTCAAAAACAGGATACGTGCCATGCGCATGTCTGCATCCGGAACGCGACCAGGACGTTCTGCCTCTCTCCCGCTGTTAGAACTAAGTCGCTGAGGTGACGGGTCTGTCGTTGTGGTCACAGGGCCTCGTCGTACATTGGTGTTGGCTGTCGCGGGACGGTTGATGAGTTGGGGTACTCTCTGATAACTATTACTGGCAGTCCTCTCGGCGGTCCATGTCCCGACCGATGTGAATGAAGCCTCGGCCGCACCAAGGAAGCTTCGCACGGATTCAAGCTGATTTTCAAGCTGATTTCCCAGGCTGCCGCGCCGCATGGCGGTTTCGAGAGCCCGAGTATCGACTGCGGCCTGAGCTACCCGTGACTCTGCTCGGCGTACCTGTCGTTGGAGGTTCTCGACGTGGGCTAGTCTCTGACGGCTGGATTCGGAATAATCTGTGAGCACGTTGGGGACGCCGTCTGACTGATCGGACGATCTAAGATTCGTGGTGGGTAGTGTTGAAGTCCGGGCCGAGCTCGAATTCGGAGGGTCGAGAGAGTTCACATCATTGCCCGAAGCGCCATCCAAGATCCGCTCGCGCTCAGTTTGCAGTCTTCTGAAATACTCCACACCAACTCTCAATTCACTCTGCAGCTCCCGCGACCGTGATTGTATGTACTGTTCCTCATGTGTCAGCTGTGCTTGGACAATGCGTTCCAACGAGGCTGCAACCCTGGCGTTTGACTCCCTTGCTGCTGTCCGAAGATTGTCAAATTCGTCCGGGTTGTCGACGAGCAGACGCTGTTGGATGTCAAGCTGCCTGCGAAGTAAGAGTGACAATTGCCTCTCGTCGGCTAGTTGACGCTCAAGCTGGATACCGAGTCGCCGTTCAGCTTCCAACGCAGATTCGACCCGAGCAAGAAGTGTCGAACTGCGATTACTCTGATCCGATACACGAGCAGTCTCAAGTGCTGATTGAATGACGTGCCAGGGGTCGTTTTGTGGAATGCTGGAGGGCCCGGATGTTGGGTTCGAAGTATTCGTCGTTTCGGCAGGCGGGCCTTCGTCATCGTCCATCCGACCTGGAGATGCAGATAGCCTTACACGATGGTTGGAGTTGAGATCGAGAAATCGACTTCCAGTCGGCTCTGAGAGAACGACAGAGGTTCTCCTCCTTGGTCGGGGAGAGCGAGGAGCGACAGACCGGCCAGCGGCACCAAGAGATTGAGGGGTCTCGTCACTTGAAATGCTGCTAGCCATCCAACCCGGGGAAGAGCTAGAGTAGTTAATACTGTATGGGCGAAGGCGAGGCGGCTCCGGGGGGTCCAATGTGGTATCGACCTCCACATGCTCCATTGTAGTATCAAGCGCCTCAACAACCGATCTCTCTCGTGCGTCTAGGTCAAACCCCCCATAATTGATCAAATCGCGGCGATTGTGCCTCTGGGCAGTCTCATTCAGAAGAACGTTAGCACGTATCTCGTTGTCCAGGTCTCTGCGAGACAGGCCACTCATCGCTCTTAGCCGGATGAGACGTTGCTGCAACAACCGTTCCTTGTGCGTTATGTTACGAAACGCGACGGGAGTTCCATCTTCGAGTTTGACTTCCTCTGTTGTCTGACGATCGAGGTCCAATATTTGCCGTCGTACGCAGGACTGTCTCACATCCGCGACTCCTATTCTCCCGTGGTCTTCGGCCCAAACGAGGAGGTCCCACGGTGCGGGAGAGAAGGTCATAGATCTGACGCATCCAAACAAAGCTGGTCGAGACGATCTAAAGCTGCATATTATCGAGGATTCGCTGGGGTCATCGCTGCTCAGAAGATGTCGCATGTCGAATATCGAGATCGACCCACCTTGGGAGGAAGCTGCGCAAAGAGATCCGGAAGGCGAGAAGGTAACCGCAAAGCCGTGGTCGTCATAAACGGGATCCCCAATTGGCACGACAGGCTTTGCAAACAGCTGCCAGCGATACTTGGCGTATTGACCGGGAGAACCGTCGATGATGTCCTGGTCTTCCTCGAGGTGTCGTCGATAGAAGTATACACGGTCGGAATCTCCCACTGCTGCGAGGATCGTAGAGTCGGGAGACAGGGCTGCGAAATTTATTGGAGCGGGATGCCGTAGAGTTGTCAGCACTTGTCGTTGAGCCAGAGAGTAGATCTTGACGGTCTTGTCGTTGTTGCTGATCAGGACCACGGGCTCGTCAGGAGTCTTGCCGTGGTTCAAGAACGTGTGAATGCTCATGGCATTCACGATTTCTCCTCCCAATAAATCAATATTCATGTCATGACCAAAGCATGTCGGCCGGTCGTGTTCGTCCTTCTGGATCTTGATGAAGGCGCAGTCGCCATTGTGTTCTCCTCCCACACAGACCCAGCCCAAATCAGCAGCGAGACATCGGGACTCGAAGGGTATTGTTGCAATCAATGAGTTCTGTTGGGTGGCGAGATCGAGGACAAACACGTCCTTACAAGACACATAGTAGATGAGGTCTTTTTCCGACGAACTGATGAAATGACGCAGTTGGTGGTGGGACACCGTGATCTTTGTAGGGTAGAACTTAGAGTGAGTTGCAAGTGACTTTGAAGGAGTAAGCCATAGTTCGCGATTGGGTACGGTCATTTCGCAACGGACGATGAGGGATCTAGGGGAAGAGACGCATCGCTCGGAGAGGTAGGAGGCCGGATTGAGATAATCAGGGCGGAGAGTGGTGGTAAGCGGGCAAAGCTAAGAAGTCCGAGAGACCAAGGCACGGAGCAGCGACTTTTAGGGGGTGGTTGAACGAGAACCCTGGAAAAATGATATGGTTTATGGATGTATTGACCCCAGCTTGAGTGTGATTAATCGCATCGCTCTAAATGGAGAGGAGGGCTGCTCGGGTTTGCTAGACCGTGACGTCGATTGGACGAGGCTGTCTCCGCGAGGCTGAAGACAAATTATTTCAATTCGGCATGTTTGTCGAGCCCCATCGGCCCATCTCGTCTGGCTGAATTATTTCTGAGAGTTTCTGCGGTGCCAAGCCTCGCGCGAGCTTGCGGCGAAGGGGAAAGAGAGATTTTTTCTCCATCCGTTATTTGTCCTCGTACATATTGCCTCTACTCTGCATCCTGAGCTCATCTATCCTGTCCCATCCCATCCTCTTCGTCTCTAGATTCATCCCCGGTTTCCAGGACTTTGCCCATCTCCTGCTCTTCTCCGTTGCTTCTGTGTTTTGTTCTTATACCCGAGATCATCATGATCGCCTCAAGGATGTCCAGAGCTGTAAGTCCGAATGCTACTGCTTCATCATGGAATCATCCTCTAACCAACCTACACAGCTTCCTCGCTCTGTCCCCTTCTCCCGCCTCTCCCAGATTCGAGCCCCTCGATCGTCAACAATTTCACGGTATGCCTCTACCGACGCTCCCGAATCGGCTGAAAAAGTCAAAGGCCAAGTCATTGGTATTGATTTGGGAACAACAAACTCGGCCGTCGCCGTCATGGAAGGCAAACAACCAAGAATAATAGAAAACGCCGAGGGCACCCGAACAACTCCCTCTGTTGTGGCATTCACTGAGGGTGGTGAGCGTCTCGTCGGTGTTGCAGCTAAGAGACAAGCTGTCGTCAACCCTGAAAACACACTTTTCGCGACCAAGCGACTTATCGGTCGGAAGTTCTCAGACCCTGAAGTCCAGCGGGATATCAAGGAAGTCCCCTACAAGATTGTCCAACACACCAATGGCGACGCCTGGCTCGAAGCTCGCGGCGAGAAATACTCGCCGTCGCAGATTGGAGGTATGGTCCTGGCCAAGATGAAGGAGACTGCCGAAGCATACCTAGGCAAGCCCGTCAAGAATGCCGTCGTCACTGTTCCCGCCTACTTCAACGATATGCAGCGTCAAGCCACAAAAGACGCTGGGCAAATTTCCGGGTTGAATGTTCTCCGTGTTGTCAATGAACCTACCGCAGCTGCGCTCGCGTATGGCCTCGAGAAGGAAGATGATCGCATCATCGCTGTCTATGATCTAGGTGGTGGCACCTTTGATATTTCTATCCTCGAGATCCAGAAGGGCGTTTTTGAGGTCAAGTCAACCAATGGTGACACCCACCTGGGAGGCGAAGATTTCGACATTACCCTCGTCCGCCACCTCGTCCAACAATTCAAGAAGGAGTCGGGTATCGATCTATCCAACGATCGCATGGCCATTCAACGTATTCGTGAAGCTGCCGAGAAGGCCAAGATCGAGCTGTCTTCTTCCATTCAGACAGACATCAACTTACCTTTCATTACTGCTGACGCATCTGGTCCCAAGCACATCAACATCAAGATGACCCGCGCTCAGCTCGAGCAGATGGTTGACCCACTTATTGCGAAGACCATTGAACCTGTCCGCAAGGCTCTGAAGGATGCCAACCTGCAAGCGAAGGACATCCAAGAAATCATTCTCGTTGGTGGTATGACCCGTATGCCCAAGGTCACTGAATCTGTCAAGAGCATCTTCGGACGTGACCCGGCTAAATCTGTCAACCCCGATGAAGCTGTCGCCATTGGTGCTGCAATTCAGGGAGCTGTGCTCGCTGGTGAGGTTATGGATGTCCTCCTACTGGACGTCACCCCTCTCTCTCTGGGTATCGAGACTCTTGGTGGCGTCTTCACACGTTTGATCAACCGCAACACAACCATCCCCACGAAGAAATCACAGATCTTCTCGACTGCTGCCGACTTCCAAACGGCTGTGGAGATCAAGGTGTACCAGGGCGAGCGTGAGCTTGTCCGGGATAACAAGTTGTTGGGCAACTTCCAGTTGGTTGGTATCCCCCCGGCACACCGCGGCGTTCCTCAGATCGAAGTCACCTTCGATATTGATGCCGACTCGATTGTCCATGTCCACGCCAAGGACAAGTCGACCGGCAAGGATCAGTCCATCACCATCGCCTCGGGCTCCGGTCTCTCCGACGCTGAGATCCAGAACATGGTGGATGACGCCGAGAAATACGGGGCACAAGACAAGGAGCGCAAGGCTGCGATCGAGGCCGCCAACCGAGCTGACAGTGTCCTCAATGACACGGACAAGGCATTGAAGGAGTTTGAAGACAAGCTTGACAAGTCCGAAGCCGACACGATCAAGGAGAAGATTGCCTCTCTCCGTGAGTACGTTGCAAAGAACCAGACGGGTGAGGGCACCGCCACGGCTGAGGAGATGAAGGCCAAGATCGACGAACTCCAGACTGCAGCCCTTAGCTTGTTTGACAAGATGCACAAGGCACGCGAGGAGTCACAACAGACGCCGCCGGGTGGGGATGCCGGCGCACAGCAGGGCTCGTCCAGCGGCGAACAGAAGCCGTGAAAGATGAAGTGAAGATGGATATGGTGGGTCCCCAAAAGCAACTTGTATTTTAATGATATCCCTGTACTCGACTTCATTTTGTTACGCCGGATATTGGCCGATCTCTTGTTCGACATTCTTGCCATCATCATCGCGGGAGCACAGTTCTCAACATGTATTAGTTTTGCCCTTAGGGAAGGGGACGAACGGGTTGCTGATGAGGACATTACTACTACTGCTGCGGCATGACCTTCCATGCACGAGTGTTGGAAGGGAGCATGGATGGAGTGTTCGGAATTTTATTACATGCTTTGCTGGCCTAAAGGAATGACTGCAGGAGCGGAACATACCAGGAGGCCAGGGGGGTTTTGGTCTTTGTTGAGGCGAACGGGTTGAAGATGGATGTAACTATTTATTGCAGAGAGACGGGACCGGGGGGGGGGGCATGATGGGCATGATACGGAGGCCCCTTAGCCTTTTTGAGAGCGGTGAGGGTGGCCGAGCACATACATAGCGTGTGTAATGCCTTTGTGTGAAAATAGAAAAATAAAATCTCCTCTCGTACTACCGAGTATTATTTCTATTGCTGCCGTGGCGGATTGATTACGGGACTCGACGACGCGCAAGTGATAATAAAACGAAAGATGACAATGCCTACGGGCGCACTCTCACATCGGGCAATGCGGCCTGTGGGGGCGGCGAAAGAAATCCCATGGCGAATGATCAAAAGAGGCAATTGGTGGGTTGACTCTACTCGTTCAAGAGAGAGCATGTGGTAACCCGGAAGACTTGGGTGTATGTAGGTATAGCATAATCAAGACTGCCAATCACCGCGGAACGAGGCGGCCCCCCTCCTTCTCCTCCTCCTTCGACTTGCGGGTCTGTCTCTGTGTGTGTATGTACCGCCGCATGTATACCGAGTACCTTTACTCGTTTCGGGCGTATATGACCAGATATCCACGAGTAGGGTGTAGGGTGTAGGGTAGGCACGCGATGGATCGTCCAGGGATGGGACGTAGGAGGAGGCTGTCTGACTCGAGGCCCTTTTTGTGGGGACAAAAGCTGACGACACATCATACGCCGCGAAAGGCCCCACGGAGCGAACAATCCTACGAGCCCTGGCAGGGTATACGAGTAGGATTTTTTTTAAGGAAAAAAAGGGGAAATAACCGGGGGGAAGGGGGTGTGGCGGCGGGTAGGCGACGGCGACGGCCACGGGGTTCGGCACGCACATTTTTACGGAGTATTTTCTTCCAAACTCGTAAATGTGGGATGCTGAGGTGGTAACGTGGTGGCGAGACGAGACGAGACAAGACCAGAAAGCGGCCGGAACTGGTGAGCCTCATAGAGGGATTTTGGGGGATTGAGATACGATACGCAGTCACAAAAGTTTCTTTGATACATTGACAAGTCGGCCGACTAAAAGTGGGTTAAACGAAACGATATGAGATGAAACGTGATCAGAGTGGGGAAAGGGGAGGAAGGAAGGAGCACGGAACGGAGTATACGGCGCATCTTGAACCATATATTATTACGAGAGACGAGGAGCCCTCAGTGAGCCCACAAAATAATAATATTGGTTGCGAAAACATACGCACGAGGAATTGTGGAGAGGGGAGATAGAGAACAGAGTTCGAGGTCCCGAGTAGTAGGTCACTGGTAGATATGGTTGCGTGGTTGCGTGGTGCGTGGCTAGCTGTGTTTGGGCTTGTCGACTCACAAATGCCGTGATGTGATTTGCCCGATAGCAAATTCCCTGCGTATTATCATCAGCCATATCAGCCATATCAGTAACAGGGAGATTATATCTGGCGACAAAAACAGAAATTAGCGGCCCGCCTCGTATTCCCAGGGGATGATGACGGAGGGAGCAAGTGCCACCAGTGCCTGCCTGCCTGCCTTGTCACTTTTGAGGTCGTAGGTGGGTGGTGTGGTGATATACGAGATGGGTATTAAGTATTGAATTAGATACTTCCATGTTCTCTCTCTCTTCAATGTGATAGGAATAGTAATGAGGCAAGTTCACGTAAACACTAGATAAGTGACTAATTAGCTGCCAAGTACCTTTCTCCAAGGATGAAGGATGGATACTATGTCAAAGGCTGATTCGGGTTATAGCCATTGGATACCTACCTAACTACCTAGTATGGGAGATATTACACATTACAGGGGTAGGGGGGATCCCCTGGAAAAAAAGTTCTAGGCATGGATCCCCAGGTCTCTAGGTACGTACCTGGGCTCCTAAGTGCCCCTACGAGTAGGAGGTATTACCTAGAGTAGCTTGGAATGGGTCGAGGTTAGGCGTCACTCTGCACTCATAGTCTAGTTCTAGGTAGGTAGATATCCCTCTTGGGCAGTCTGTGGCCCCCCCTCCGCGCCCCTATTATTCATGAAACCCCATCCCAGTACCTGAGTACGAGTATTATCCACTCCCTCTCCCAACTTGAGAAAGGATGACGGGGCGCCCTTGTGTACCCTTCGATCCAACTCAATCTCGTCAATCGTAGTTTTTTAGTTAGCCAACAACTAACGTACCTAGGTAGGTACTCCCTCTTTATCCCTTTCAGCCACCTGAATCCCCCCCAATATAATTTCTTGTACCTGGTGAAGGAGGAAAAACAGAACAAGAGCCACTCCAGTGTCAAGCGAGAAACCCGCTTCCCTCAATTCTTTCCTGTGCATCCACCCACATAATACACTGCCTCACCCCCCTCTTCCTTCAAACCCCCCCTCTTCACAAGATGTTCGTGTCAAACCATAGCCCGTAACCCCCGTAGGCCGTAGCCTCTGGCCTGTAGCCCGTAGCTCAGCCCACACCTACTTAACTCGTAGGTAGCTAACCACTTACCAACCTATGCCCGCTCATCCTATCAATCATTTATCCACTTTTACTATTCGGCCGCGTCGCTTCGACGTACTCTAAACAATGCTTTCTCGCTTCTTATTAACGTTTTAGCCTTGGGCTTTCCCCATTGTGACCAATAGCTTACTGCTTGTTCTGCTCTTGTGCCTATCCTACGGTCATTTAGTGTCCTTTTTCTCGTAACTCTGCATCTTCCTCTTGTCTGTCCTGTCTGTCTCGCTATCTTCTCTTCTGGCCTCTCTTGTCTGGTCTGGCTTTCCTCAATTCTCCCTTTTTCTACTCTCCCTTTGTACTACTCGAATTCCCCCTTCCTTTCTCTCCTTTTCCTCTCCCGTCCGCCCACCTTCCCGTCTCTCCAGAGCAAAGTTATTCGCAATTAATCCGCTCTGCTGCTTCCTGTCTATTGACAGCTTCTATTGTTGTACACCATTGGATTTTTTGTCAACCTCTTCGTATCACCATATTCTTGTCGACGACGCAATTCCTGTCCACATGCCAATGCCGCTTCCGACCTTGATTTAATTTTTTGGTGGTCGTCAGCATCCCAGCCTGAGTCGCGTTCAGTATCTCCTGCTACTCGACTTGTCTTGATATTTCTTTCAGTCGTCTGCACACCTCTACAAATAGTCGCTGGTTCACCGTCGGTATGTTCGCGAGACATCCATCAGAATCAGCGCGTAACGTCTCGCACGATATCGGGCCTGAGGTATGTGAGAATCCTGTTATCTTCCATTTCTCAGCACTGTTCCTGCACTATTCGTTTATGCACAAGCTCTCGGAACATACTTGCACTATCCCTCTGGTTTATGGGAAGAGGGGAAACCGAAAAAAAAAGCAATGAAATACTGCGTTGTGCTCTTGTTGCGCCTGCCAACGCCACCTGTCCATCTCAAACCAGGCCACCTTGAACCACTGTCAATTATCGGCTGTCAAACTCCTTCCTGTCTCCTGTCAAATGACCGGAAGAGAAACTCCAACCAGAGGGAAAATACCGCCACCGGATCCAGAGAAAAATGCAGGATGGAGCGATACCTGAACCCAGTGACGATATTCTGGCCGGTGGCCACTTATGCTCGCTTGTCCGCGTGTCAAAGGCGGGAGGGGATGCAGTCACTGGGGCTTCGAATACAAGGGTTGGCTCGGCGGGTTCTGCAGGCGACCGCGCTGAACCTGTCCGAGTACTTGTAGCCCTTAAGCCCTTAGGCTCTTTGGGGCTTTGCAGGCTCCTAGGCTGCTAGCCTCCGAGGCTGGCTAGGCTATTGGGCGACCCCCACTCTCCTCCCTCCTCCAACGAGAATTGTCGGGCACTGCCTCCACCATCAAACTCCAAACTGTGCTCCTCGTTTCTCTTGGCGTCTGGCTTCAATACCTGGGCGGCCTTTTTTGGTCTCCTACTCATCCCACTCCGCTTCGACTCCTCTTTCTCGCCTCTCACCAATCGCCATCTTTTCACACACCACCTTCAAATCCTATTTGGTGCTATTCAACTGCATCACCCGGACTGGCGTCTTTCCTGTCTCTGCTTAGCGTTTCTTTACCCATCGTTGGCACCACCAAGGGCATCCGTTCCTTAACCCTTTCCGGATACTCCTGACCTGTTCGCATCTTATCCACCACGCACTACTCATCAAGTCGAAGACCTGGTGTGGGAAAAACCAAAAACTTCACATACGAGATGTGACTTGATTGGGGGGAATGGTGGCTTCTCTTTCTCACTCGACGTACTTTTCAGACGTGACCCTTTGGTGCTGAGAACTCACTCACTCACTTCACCCATCCATTCTCTCCCCCTCTCATTTCCTGATTTGTCATTCCTTCAACAATTTTGGTCGCTAATACTTGGGCTTCTAGCGTTCGCGCTCATCGTGGGAGTCTCCATATCAGCAACATCCTCGAAATTTCCCCCAACCCCTTCAGCGCTCACCGACTGTGCATGACCCGATGGATGCCGAATCTTCTGACAGCGATGTCTCTGTTGGCGGAGGCGATGAATATCGATTCGCCGGCCCGTTGACCGCGCCGATTCCTCTGCCGCCGCCAGCATCAAAACACGCCTTGGAATCTTCCGATGCCGTTCAAGCACGTCTCGATGAACTCCAGCGCGTCGAGGACCACAATGTCAAGAAATATGATCTGCTCAGGGCTAAGCGCGCTCGAAAAGACGACAAAATCCGTCGCAGACGAGAATTTCAGGACAAGAAATGGGCTCTCATTATGGAAGCTCGTCAACGCAGGGATGCCAGAATTGAGGCACGCCGAAGGAGAGAGGATGCGGCTTTTGTCCAGTTTGATCATGAGCTGGAGGATGAAGAAAATGTAGGTTCTGATTGGGTGAGCGGGCGTGGAGTCGGTAGGGCTAATGGGTCTCCAGAATCTCCGACGCCGGCTGAAACGACTCAAACGTGGACTACCACCCGACGACTCACCAGTACCAGGAGGCCGCAGCATATCCTCATCGTCTATGTCGCCGCCAGGTCCGGCGCTCTCGACCCTTCCCCCGCCTCCCAAGCGTCACCAGGTTGGTCCTCCAGGCCAGCCTGATGCCATTAATTCAGTTCAGTCGAGACCAGCGCCGCAACCGAACCTAGCACCACCAGCAAAGAGCACTCTGCCCGCTCCCTCCTATTCCTTCTACCGCGACTCGAGTTCAGCATACTCACGTCCGTACCATCACTCATCCTACTCGACTACTCCAACCAATGGGCCCCCATCCATGACGACCAACGGGTCAGGTCATGGCCCGCCGCCCCCTGCTGAACGGCCGCAGCTGAACCATGTAGGACGGCCGGCTTCCCCTCTGCAGCGACCTATTCCCAGCACCCAGTCACCTGTGACACCAGCAACAAACCCCAATCCACCGAGACAGATCTATGACACCCGCCCACCACCACCGACCACGTCTTCTGGATTCGCTTCCATCAACCCGCCACCGGCATCGGGATTTGCCACTATCAATGCAAGGACGACCGCAACCCCACCCGCGCCTCACGTTCCCTTGTCGAGACCCTTGAATGATTCAGATCCAAACAGGACCCCCAATCATCCAGCCAACAATGGAGTCGAATCGAATCATTTCCATTCTTATCCCGGTGCTCCGAACACCTCCAACTCGACGCCGCAAACCGGGAGTGCCAGCAAACGTACACCCTCAACAACTCATCCGTACCAAATGTCCGAGGCATTTGCCAACCGACACCACCACTGCGAAAGAGTCGACACCTTGAATCGTGGCGTCTGGACGTCGTATGGGCCGGGAGGCACAGCAGAGCATCCGACGGGACCAGCAGTTGAGATGTACCTTCGCTGCAATCACGATGGGTGTTCCCGTATTGATTGGCGCACTGTGCATGGTCTGCAATGCCACATTGTTAAGAACCACGATCAGCCGAAAGGCACCATTGGTAGTCTTGACAAGGCGTTGGAGAGATACGGCGTCCCAGTTAAAGAAGTCGAGGAATTTGAATTCCGCCACGGCCGAGGCACTGCAGGAACAATGGCAGATCCAAAGAACTTGAAGATGAAGCTTAAGACAAAGGTCCAGAGTTTTGGGAGAGTTAGTACCCCGGGGTCTTTCAGTGTCGACCCTGAGGCGAGACCGGCCGGGTACAGACCTAGCCCGGCTGCCACCGACGATAGTCCCACCATGTCAGAGGGTCTCAAAAGAAGTCCAGACACAGCCATGACAAATGGCTCCCAAAATCGTGCCGTGGCCAACGAGAACGGGGGACATTCCACCCCGCAAACGACTACTAGCTCTCCTGCTACAACGCATACGGCCGTCCGACCCGGTTGGATGGGCGTAAATGCGCCGTCGGCACCGGCAACTGTCGAACCGGAACCCAAACGTCTGCAAGGGGATTTTAGTTCGATCGACGCTCCAAGCAACGAGGACTCCACCAATGCGCAATCGACACCTTCTGGAGAGGCTCTACCGACGCCTACATCAACCATCCACGTTGTCACTTCACGACCTCAGTCCAGAGGCACCATCACAATCGTGGAAACCGGGACTACTTCTCCTAACCAGCAACGCTCGAATGCACCAGTTAGACCTGAACCCCCAGCTTCCTCACCTCAAGCTCAGCCAAATCAAGTTAAGAGAGAAGAGGATAAGCAGGAGGTGCAGCTTACAGGGCAAGAGCCGTCAAACCAGAAAGACAAGGACCAAGATGTTCAGATGACAGGAACTGCCGAGGACGATCAGGCGAAGGCAAATGAGAGTCAGGTAAATGGTACCAACAATGTCGAGAAGAATGGCGCACCTGAAAAGGTGGCACACGCACCAGATTCGGCGACAGAACAATCCGATACCATTGAGATAGATGGGAGTGCCTCCAAGGATGCTAGCACAGCGACTGTCCGACGATCCACTATCCAATCTCCCACGATTACGACAAGGTCTCTGACCGCGACCACACCTGGCAGCGCACGCCGACCCAGTCGACGCTCCAGTGCTGCGAGGAAGTCGGTGGATACCGAGGGGGACACCGGTAGGCCTGCGAATAACGAGAATGACGACAAAGAAAAGGACGACAAAGATGGCAAAGATGAGAAAACGGAGAAGGAGAATACTCGGCTGGAACCGCGGCGATCATTGACTGGACGAATCCTACGTCGGGGGAGGTTTTAGTGCGAGGTCCTAGGCAATTCTCTTCAACACGAGAAGTCTCAGACGAACGAACCTGGCGAGACGGCAAATGTTGTGAGCTCAGCCTTGGACTGGTGCAATCAATGAGTCTTGCAGATACTTCATTCATGAATCGTGACCGAGTGGATAGAAAGGGGGATTTTGTGCAGCAGCGTCGGAGGGCGAATTTATGGCAACACGGGTTTTCGAGGGGACGAGGACAGGTACTTCGACTGTTCGTTCGGCTCGATATGATGTTCGGGATTGGGGAGGTATGGGTGGAAACACGGATTATTGTCCGGGTTCCCTGGGGGCGACTAATTGGATGGGCGTGGATTGCTCTGTTTGTTCAATGCTTTGAAGATTTGCCATGCATGCGTTGAGCAAATTGAGACCGAGACCGAAATCGAGACGGGCGTGGGTTTGTTTTGATTTGTTTGGCCTTTGCAGAGGATCACCGGACTCGTCAAGGGCATTCCTTATTAATTTGACTGTTTTGTATGTGAAGCATTCACTATTACTTGATTATGAATGATATCATGCATTGCAAGTGCAACAAGGCAGCCGATGAAGCCACCCTTCATTCATTCCTATTTTCCTGTTTGTCTTTTACAGTGTAATATATGATTTTCGCCTTTTGGGATTTGATTGCTTAGGTAGTAAAATTCAATGGGGCCACTATCCTGTCTATACGCACACTCACATACCGAGAAGGCCTATTTAGCGATTGGGCGATTGGGCGATCCGGTAAGAGGTACTCAGTAAGAGAGAGGTACGTCGTCAAGCTCATCCATACTCCGGTGGGTGCGTGTAGTGAGAACGTAGGTGTAGTCGTATAGAGATTGACTGCACGACCAACCTCACCCAACCAACCAACAAACACCGTGTGTACCGTGGACCGTTCAACAGTATATTGTGCACAGCGTCCGGATCGGAGATCGAAGCGAGAAGAGAGCAGAAGACACAGAGCAGAGATGACGAAAGACAGTGGAACGCAGAATACAGTGGGAGAAGTCAGAGAGGTCCATTCTCTCACCAGGTTTCTGCCCTTCCGATTCTGCCGGGGCGTTGAGTGGTGGTGTTGCCGTTGGTTGGCGACATGGGACGTTGGTCAAAGAGGAGATGGAGTTTCCTGCATTGACCGCGCCATGTGAAGACTGGTTGCGTGTACATTTTCTGTGTCTCAGCATCTCAGTGTCCAAATCTGTTGCAACCCTGCGCCGCATCTGTGTGTGTGTGTGTGTGTAATGAAGTCAATTCCATTCTGTTCCTCCGCGTCGGAATACCATTCCATTCCACTCCATTTTATTTGATTTGATCTGATTCTACCTGAATCATCGAATAACACCCCCCGACGCCCGCCCAACCCAGGACAAACCCACTCAGAGCCTCCGTGAACAACCCTCCCCCAAACCAGATCTCGCGCCACGCTCCCGAGCCCTCGTTCCTCCCGCCTTTGGGGGGGTCATTCAGGCCCCTCGACCCGGCCGTGCCGGCGAAGTACTTTTGCGGCGAAGCGCCCGCGAGGAGGAAGTAGAAGAGAGCCGAGATCAGGGTGTTGCACGCGAGGTAGAAGCCGAAGCCGGTCAGGGACTCGAGGCCCAGGATGCCGGCGGCGATGCCGAGGAGGAGGCCCGCGATGGAGCGGATGTTGGAGAGGGTCTGGTTTTTTTGGCGGGATGAGAAGCATGTCAGTCGGGTAATAATACTGTGCGTGGTTCTTTTCGGGGGAGCGAGGGAGGAGAGTGTAGGAGAGAGAGGAAATGAGGAAGAAGAGATAACAAAACGTACCCGCGTATTGTGTGTAAGTGACTCTGGGACCAAAGGGTCCAGGAACATGGAAAGTTCTTGCGGTGATGGCGCCATGGTGTGCGATTGAGCGATTGAGATGCGCCTCGACTCTCGACTCTTGAATTGTATGACACTTTGCGCTCTCTAACCAAGGGCAAAGGCTTTGGGAAGAGTTTCTAGGCTCGTGCTCGTTGACTAGGTCGGTACGTAGTATGGAGGTGGTGGGGGTAGAAGTTGACGTTGGAAACTCTGCAAACAAGCCTGTTGGATGACCTGGACGTGCAGTTGATTTTCAGTCGCTATCAAAGCAGCACACCAATGCGGCTTGGAGGGCCCAGTTCAGTGCAGAGTGGGTCTCGACTCATTCCCTTGCATCCATCCAGTCATCTCATCTCATCCACTGCAGTCCACTACCATCCCACTACATACCACCCATTCTCTCTTTCTGTCTCTCTTTGACCGCAGCCCACGGAGACGGAAACTCATGGCCCTCAGAACATCAAGCAGAGGAGCAGCGCAGAAATGAACCCTCCCCTTCTAAATCATCTCACAAGAAAATTACAGAGTACTCACGCCGAGATGACTCCTCTGACTCTTGCAAAGCCACGAGAACATCAAGCGTGTCCAATCGCTTCTTCTGGGTCCAGTTGTGTGCATGTTCTACATAGAAGATTCGTAGGTGGTATGGATTATCTCGTCACGCTATATAGAAAAGACGTCGAGTCATCACGCCATCCATGGTCAGTCTTGGTCGAAAAGAACTGGAAATTACTAGGGTCCTGCCTGGCCCGACCAAACGAGGTGGACGAACTTCGTTCGGCCGGCCTTTTGGTGGTGGCGACTACACCAGCAGCCGCGCACTCGAGATTCTGATCCTGTCAAAATGCCAATCCGTCGCAGAACCAGGCCGACGATTGGGGGTTTCAGAGCATGAAACAAGCTCCAGTATTCCCTCCTCACCCCGGAACAGTCCCTCGCCAGTCAAGCACAGCGCCCATGTCTCCAATGTTTGCAAAGTTCAGAAAAACAAAGCCGCACCTCGGGCGGATAGCAGGTGATGACGAGTGTGGCCACCACGGAAACTGCCATTCTACAGCTTCCCTTCCGCTTGGGCTTCTCTGACTTGCTCAAACACCTACAATGACATTAGTGGTCATCGCCCATATTTGACAAGTCCATCACTCACCTTGAGCATCTTGTTCCTCGCTCCCAGAGCATTCACACCACGTGCTTCCAAGCCCTTATCATCAAGCTGTATTAATTCCTCCCATTTCAGGTCCTTCAGGTTGTCAGTGTATTTGTGTAGCCTCAACGATCGAAGCCATGTCGGGATATCTTTCAGCAGATTGGGGTCAGTGGGATCCTCAGGAGGTTTGGAGCTCCCACGGCGTCCTCTGGGCGACCTGCCCCGGGTGATGTCCGAGTGATCGGAGAGATACCCTTCGCCGCCTCCACCAAATATTCCTGTTTGCGGGACTAACCCCGGCATACCTGCACCGATCATGATGGGTGCGCCGTCATATGCAGCCAAGAATCCGTTGTGTTGAGGAGACGCAAACGCGGTTTGACTGAGAGGCGTCTGCAATGGAAGTCCAGGAGAATTAGGTCGAGATCGGCGTCCTTGTGCAGCGGCGATCTGCTGCGCTTGAATGGCGGCAACTTGTTGAGCATTGAGGATTTGGCCGTGATCATTTACCATGATAGTATTGATGCCCGGGATGCCAGAAGCTGCAAGCCCAGGGGTCAGCGGTGGTTGTGTCGGTGGCTGAGGTTCGTTAGACCGAGCACGACGAAATTTCTTGACGTCGTCCAGGGCAATCCTGTTGTTGACCGTGGACAAGGCGGCGAGTTTCATGGCGGTAGCGTTGGCCACCATTTCGGTATGGGATTGAGCTTGGCTGAAGTTCGGGACCATGGGGGTATTGGTCATCGAAGCCCAACTCTGGTTGCCCACGTTGTAAGGGGACAGAAGGGGCATATCGCTGGATACCGGGTCCGGAGCGGTCAATGTAGTGCTCTGAATATTACCGCCCGAGCCGCCTAGAGGACGCGGAGAACGAAGGCCACCAGACGATGCAGGTTGACTAAATTGGCCCATCGGCTGATGCTGCCCCTGTTGGCCGGATGATGACTTGGGTCTCGATATCGGAGGCTGTTGAGTATCTCCACCGCCCTGCCGCCAGCTCATGGCATCTGCCTTGGACTCTCTCGGAGCGGCTATAGTGGGTGCCACTAGGGAACTGCGATCTCCTACAACCGTACTGTTTCTGTTGGAAGGGGGCGGGTTGCCTGTTTGTTGGGCGTATTCGGCCTTTTGCTGCTGAATTGCGGCGACAGCGTCCGGAAACATTGCATGTATGGTGGATTGATCCAAGCCCGAATTGCGCTTGTTGCCGGCTGGGGAGACCGGTGGTCGAGTCAAAGAAGTCCTCCGATCGTCCACATTCAACTTGGACATGGCGTCGCTCAGACGGTTGGACATTGCGTCCTTTTCCCCGAAATTGGCTGGTGAGAGGACGCCCGAAATCGGATGGCTTTTGGACATCTGGTTCAGAACCTGAGCAAAGAATCGTTGCTGCATTTGCGTGGTCTGCTGGATGAGGGCGTATGTGGCAGCAGTGCGCTCCGCCTCGCTCAGGACTTGAAACCATTGTTCGATCGCGCTTAACTCGTCTTTGAAGTCCTGATCCAGAGTCGCCGCAGCCATCTCTTCCAACATGGTTTCATATTGTTCAATATCCTGAATCCACTGCTCTCCCAACTTGCTTGAATCGTCCATGCTGCCTTGTTGAGATTGTTGGTTGTATAAGACCTCAGAGGCTGGGCGTATGGAACGTGACGAGAGAGGAGAGGCGAAAGACATGTCAGCTGAAGTTCGGACGGCTTGAGTATGGGTACCGGATGTGCCGATAGTCCTGGAGCTGGGCGGCCGAAGAGAGGTTTTGGACGCCTCCGGGGTGCTATTCCTGTTGCCGATGATGTTGCTGGCCATGGTAGCTTGGTAGCTTTTGGTAAAGCCCGGGCTTCGGAGGCTGCGTAGGACAAAGTGCCCTGGTGGTGACGAATTGATGGTTCGAAGCGAACAAAGGTCAGTGGTGGAAGGAGACTGAGACGGTCACACAAACAGATCTAACAGATCATTGGGTTTACAGCGTGTAGAGGAGCCGATTGGATCCAGCCCAAGGGCAATGATGAATGAGGGTGGAAAAAGGAATGTCGAGAACGCGCTTCCAACGCAGTAAATGGCTGAAGCAAAGATGTGAGGCAGCGCTATTTGGTGGAGGTGGCGGTTCGAGGTGTCTCAGACACGACGATGAGAGCGGGGGGGATGCGATTAAGCTACAGTTAAGAGACGCGCAGGAAGCAGGCGACAGATAGCATGGGAAAGGCAGAGAAGTCGAGATCCGTCAAAAAGAATACACTCCCTAACAGGCGAATGAAGGTAGAGAGTACACCGAGGGACCAGGAGAAAAAAAATTGAGTCGAGCTGAAATAATAAGACAGGATAGAGTTGAGGTTCGCGAGAGTGGAACCGACAAAGCAGCAAGGCTTACCCGTGCCTCCGTAAAATAATTCCTCCTTGGTAGGGATATAGAAGCTCGTTCGTCCAGGGCGGGAGCAGGGCGGGAAGAGGACGGAGCCCCAATTAGCAGCTCGCCTAACCGGGAGCACTTGGCTATTGACTGACACCCAGCGGCGACAAGAGGGAACCCCAGTCCAGGGAGGTGAGGCCTGGAAGGAGCTGAAAGAGCTTGGGTTCGTTTCCACCAAAGTCATAAGGGCAAAAGGGTTTGATGGGCGACGCCCCTAGCCTCCGAATAGCGGCTGTAGTGGAAGCTCGTTAAAGGGGAAGTGCCGTGGGCGGTGGACAGGCCCTGAAATTTGTCTGAGTGACGCTTACGGCTCGTATGGCTTCACCGCCAACCAACCCTAGAGCCCCCAAGGACTCGTACCTACATGCCTGCGCACCTATGCACCTGTACACCTGTACAAATGCGCCATCGTATCGAGTTACTCTGTTACCCAACACCACCTGCGCCTCACTGTGGCGCTCTGGCCTCTACATTTCCCCATTGGCCTGCAGTGCAGCAGATCTGATGAACGTCACAGTACTCTGGTCAAGCTGAACAGATGCCCGTTACCTGCTGGTGGCAACGCAGTTAATCAATGAATCCCACAATTCTGTACCGGTGGTATTCGACCCAGCTGCTCCTAGGGAGGCGCTGACGTAGAAGATCAACGCCACGGATATTCACCCTGCTGCGAATAAGAGTCTTGTCAATTTGGTGACTGAGATGATCTTCAGACAAGAGTCTCTTGGATTTTGCTAACAAGTACAGCAACCGCAATGGATCGGCGAATACTTCATCCTCATTGAGCAGTCTCACTTTTTTTTTGGCACGCTTTGGTGGACCTCAATCAACCATATAGCCCCTTTCTCTTGCGTACTCGTCCATGCTAACACTCTGCCCTCGAATCCCCAATGACTTCACTTGCACGAACATTATGACATGCCTTTGATCCTGGATCGAAACTTGCATTCTCTTGAGAAAGGGAGGAAAGAGACGTTGTGTGTTGGAGCCATTACCCTACGTCCCTCCGATCGCCCAAGTCTCTCTTCAACAGATTGAGGATGTGACCGCGTTCTCCAAACATGACCGAATTCCATACCAGGCCGACACGTCCAAATCAGTTGTCGTGCCAATAGTCCGCACACACCCTTCCCATATCGTACAAATGTGTCTCTGTAAATCCAATATGGCCGGCGGGTTGACGTTTACCGGCCTGGCAGCTGTCCGGATTGCATCATGGCAGCATTCTGCTCTTGAAACCTGGCCCCTAATCTCTCCGAACCTTTCAAGAATTTATCCACGCAGCGCATCACACAGCCTTCTTCTCTCGAGATCAATGACTTTGTTGTGAAATCGTTGACACAATCGTCAAAACACCGTTGGACGAGGTTTGAATAGGTCTAACATGGAGCCCAGGTCAGGTCAGAAAAACCATCAAAAGGGGGAATCTGTGGCATGGCATGGGCTGTGATAATCCTTACCTTCATGAATTCTTTCAGCTGCTTTGCCTCCATACGAGCATTGAGCTCCCTCTGTTCGGCGGGAGTGAGGCTAAAACGACATCAGCGAGTCCACGCGAAGACGATTGCAACAAGAGACCAACCTGTCCATTGTGACGGAAATAGAGATGTAAATAAGAGAACTGGTTATCAAAATGCAATATTGCAGAGAAGAGGAAATCGCCTAAACTCGCAAGCCGCGAAGCAGAAATTCGAGCCCGGCAGACTTTCCCTCTACCATCTGCTGATCTGCGGAGCAAGTTTGGCTTAGTTTTTTTGTTGTCTTTTCCTGTCGTCCTCAAAGCCTTCGACTTATCCGTTGGCTTTACGGCTTTACTCCCATGCATCTATTTTTCATCCGACATGGAGAGACAGAGCATAATGTTGCTGGGCTTCTTGCAGGGGTCTCTGACTCCAGGTTGACCAACCATGGTGTCCTGCAGACCCAACGACTGGGTCACTATCTCACCACTCACCGTAACTTGAGGTTTACCAAAATCTACGCCTCGGATCTTCAACGAGCTTTCATGACCGCTGAAGAGCTTCACAGAAACCAAGCCGCAAAGCTCTCCGCCGAAGTTGTTCCCAAAGTCGTCAAACTCGAACTGCTTCGTGAGCAGGACTTTGGCTCATTGGAGCTCGTTCCGTGGAACTCGAGGAGGGTGCTGCAGCATCTCGATCCTGGTGTACCTAACCCCGAACATGAATCTTTCCGCCCTCAAGAGACGACCGAGACTATGGTGAGAAGGGCGGAATCGTTTCTGGACGACTTCATCCTCCCACACTTTGCCCGTGGTGCAGAGGATGCCACAACGGCAACGCAGGAATGCGTTGCGGTCGTTTCCCATGGCCTCTTTCTATCTGTGCTGTGGCGGACACTGCTGAGAAAATTTAACAGCAACACTGTTGCGCTAGCGCCGAAGGTCGAGGCTTGGGGTGTCCGCCCCTTGGAACACCTGCCATCGTGGACCAACACTGGATTTTTGGAACTTACAATCGAGAGACCCTCGTCCAAACTTGCCCATCAATCTCAGATGGCACAGCCTTTTGCATCGACGGACATCCCTTCATTCCCGCTCAAGGGATGTTCCATGACCATCCACGGCATTAACAGTAAAGATCACCTCCGAGATCTGAAGCGTACAAGAGGCGGGCTGGGATCGTCTCCCTATGATGCAAAGCAACAGACTTTGGATGGCTTCTTCAAGCGGCCTTCAGCTGGCCGCGGCTCTATTACGTGAACCCCAAATTCGAAGAGACACGCCTGCCAAAGCGTGAAGGAAATGGGGCCAGCATGCCCCCCTTCGATCTTTGACCACTTGAGAGAAGTTGCAAATTGAAGACTGTTGAGATGTGGAGGTAAGCCACCCCCATTCTATTGTGACATGCCCGTTCCATATCTGCCTGATGAAGCACAATTTCACACAGACCTGTTCTGAAACTCGTTGTGGAAGCATAAATTGTACCAACTGCTGTCTGATCGCAGCGTCGTTCCTGTGTCAATTATTCAAGGGGATGCAACGAACACGACTAACGGATGTTTTCGCAGGAGAGCCTTTGGTCTCACCACTGATATACCGAAACGATACACAAGCACTGCCTGGGCACTGGGTTTCGCGTTCGGTGGAGTTCACAGCCCCATCCAGTCGGCTTTGCGCCGCCACGCTTCTTCCATGTACTTGCATGCGATTTCTATGTAAACAGACTGTTCGATGTATCACCGGCATTAGGAAACGGTTGTATACTTATTCCGAAGATCATATCATGCAGGGTCAACCTCATCCTTAGGCCCAAAATAGAGCGACAGAGCCTACAACACGAGTAGGTGATGAGAGAGGATTGTGAGGCATGTCTCGACCAGGATTGGAGGCGCATGACCTCGAACATGAACATGGGACCACGCGAGCATCTCTCGAGAGAGTGATTGGCCGTTACAACACGCGTTGTTCTAGACCAAGTCAGGGCGCTGATCAGGGGGTTGTCACCCTGTCATCTTTGTCTCTGCTCTCCAAAAGCATCTTGTTTCCCTGATTCATTCGTCTTTCCTCTTTTATCCCCAGGAACCGGGTACTTCTAAGATCTCTAGACACATCAGGCCCGTTCATTCTGGTGCTTGCAGGGACCTCCTGTCTTAGCCATCTGTTTTTTGTTCGTTTCGTCTCCCTGCCCGCCCGGAAACAAATCCAGCAGATCAGACCCTCCCTTGATGGGTCATGGTGACGGAACGCCTTGAGACGCCCGCTGCGCCACATGCTGGGCGCCCGTTACTATTAATTCCTCCCATTATTGACGCAAGACACCAATCCCACCAAGTCTTGGAAGGAGGAGTGCCGCCGCCTCCACCACCACGTTAATTTATGTCCTTTTTTCCCATCTGCAGCCTTACCAATGCAGAGAGAAGTACCTCGTACATTGGCATGCATGACTGATGGTTGAACCATCTACCTACTCGTCTCGCGCAGTCTTTTGGGTTGTTTTCAAAAAGAACTGTGGTTTTCCATTTCGAGATACAACGACAAGGACAACGACAAAAGGGAGAGTCGCCAAATACTTCTTCACCACCCAAAAAAACACCTCCCTCCCTCCCTTCCACTTGGTTCGAAAGCACAAGGTACCCAAAGCCCACCGCTAAGATTACACGAGATGCTCTTCCTCATTGAATCACCCACTCAAATTCATCGCGTAACCCACGAGGAGACCTTTCCGCGGGGCTCTGTTCATCGTGACGGTGAGCAAAGCGGCTCCTGCCCATGATTATTTAACATGTCATCCATTACTGTTAAAGAGAAAAACCGCATCCCCAAAATGAAACTCGCTGGTGAGAGGACGGAGTGAAGAGGGAGGGAAATGGTAAATCGGTGAGTAACGTCCCACTAGGAAGAAGAGGAAGAAAAAGAAAAAGCCCCCCTTTCCTAGCTCCAAAACTCGGTTGTTCATCTGCTCTTCGAGAAGAAAACAAACCATCTGAATATATCCTCGCCCGAGATATGGAGGAAAACCCGAGTCACTGAAAATGCAACCAAACGCCTCGCCAGAGCTTGAAAGAAAAGAGTACCCGACAGGATCCAATGCGATGCGTGGGTAGGTAAGCCCAGCCCAGCCACAGCCACAGCCGTGCCTAGGCCGCCTTTTCCAGCTTGGAATGAGCTCTCTTGTTGCTCAGAATCGTTCCTCATTTCTTTTTTTCAATTTTGCAACTCGTTCACCTGCGCAATTTCGGCAAGGGTGTGAAGCGTCACATATAACTGTGTGCTCGGACCATGGTTCGAGTGGCATCGAGTCGACGTCTTTCTTGCCTCCGTCCGGCATTCATCGTATAGGGCTCGTTCTGGTACCCCATTGACAAGGCGAGGTGAGCTCTGACGGCTGCTGGCGGCGATGCTGAGGGGGCGTGCGGTAACTCTGCCATGTGGACAACTTGTCGTCTCGACGTGCCGGCAGCGCCAGGGAGGATGGTCTGGTAAGGGAGTAACTGGGTTCTCTTGAACTGTTGGTCATTGATGATCCTTCGGTTGTACATCCACTTCATCAGGCCAAAGTCGGTCCTCACCGTCGCCAGCTGTTGGCCCTGCCGAAAGTGCTCGTGCACCATATGGGACAGCATGGTGTTCCACGCCAACGCCGGATCGTCCTCGGGCCGCGAGACGTACTTGTTGTCGCACAGGAAACAGGTGGCAAAGGTCGGCAATTCGTGTCCGCGGAAGTGCGAAAACACATGCATCTTGAAGTGGATGATGTCTGCAAATACCTGATCGCAGTCCAGGATCTGGAACGGACAGAGCAGATCGGCGTCCTCGTGATATCGGAACGGCACCGTCAACACACCATCTTGTGATTCCAGCATGTATCCATCTCCGAGTATGCTACTGGCCATATCTGTGTCTGCCGAAGACGCCCTAGATGAGTCGGTCGAAGTCTCACTGGTCAAGGGTGGTACTGCATCTGTGGTGGTCGTGGTGGCGGCTGTGGATGCCATGGATGCAGCGTCGTCATCCTGAATGACCTGCACCGCGGTGGCGGATCTGGTGCCCGTGTTTCTGGAATACATGAGGCTGCGAACCAACCCCGGAACCTCTTTGTCTGGCTTGTTGGGCGAGGTTTTGGGACTGGTCAGACCTGATGCTACGAGCTGAACAGGTGTGCCCGGAATCGAGTTACAACCGCATCGAGGCTGGATCGTGGACATGGAGGGAAACTTGACACACTGGCGGCGGACAGTCCTGCCTTTGAGTGAGCATGGCATCACACGCAGAAGCCGGCCTCTTCCACGATGGTGGGTGATTAATTGGGTGGCGTGGTGTGAACTTACCAGAATCATGATGTCGGCATGGGATATTGGCAATGGGGAGGTTGCCGGCGCTGGAAGTCACGCTATCGATAAGCCTAATCGGGCGTGAAATGGGTGCGGGGAGGGGGAGAGGGAGGGGCGGGCGTCCGGCGCGTGTCGTACGAGGGTTTTGTACTGTATTCAGTACCTTTCGTATCTTCTTATTTTTTGGTGGGTTCTGCCAGATCGAAACCGACAGTCAACAGAGAACTCGCTTCCCTTGCCGAAAAAAAAGGAAGAAGCCCAGGACGGACGAACACAACGAATGCACCAAGCGACCCACTTTTTTTCTTCTTCTGGTCGTGAATACGAAGATTACATTTATCGTCAGTTTTCGCGGCCGTCGGAAAAAGCGGGGTGTAAAGAAAGGTAACAAAAACCGGGGGGACAAGAGGGAGGAAGAAGGGGAAGGACGGAATTTGTTAGAAAAGAAAAAGAGGAAAAGATAATTTAGATGGGCATGCACCTCATCGACAATCGCCCAGATCCTTTCGAGGTCTTTTTTGCCCGCCCACGAGCCTCAAAAACGGTCCGGGTCGATCGGTCGGTCGGTCTGTCTGGCCCAGGCCTGGGAGAGAAGACTACATGTATCGCTTGTTCTTTGCTCCTCTTTTGCAGTTTAGTCGGGTAGAGCGACTGGCTTGCCGCACTCCGCGATGGTGAGCGCACACTGGGAGGGCGACCTGTCAGCTCTTGCCAACACATCAGCTTTTCTTGCCGACCGGTCGACTTGATTGGTGCGACCGTCAACACACGAGGGATTGCTAATCAAGAGTCCTTGCTAGGCCTTTTACATCGAGCCGTGGTGGTACTACATGCTAAAACTCACGGGACTGCGAGGAAGGATCCTTTGAAGGGGAAAAGAAAAGGAAAATAGAAGACATGCGATTGATATTTCTTCAAAATTGTTGCTCCGCTGGGATCTCAAGTATAGGAAAAAGTGCAGTGGCAAACCTGGAAAGAGTAGATGATCGGCTTCAGAACCGATCCCGTTTGCCCATTGGCAGCACCACCGAAGATCCGAGGGTCGATGATCCCCAATTTCACCCGAGCTATAACTGCCCTGCTCCCATAACCCTTCAGAACCGTATATTCTTGCATCTCCGACTCAGCAAAGACAGATCGTCCACTGATTACCAGCTAGTACCAGCTGAACAGAACTCATGACTATGCACCAACAGCCTGCCGTGAAAAGTGGCGATCAAGTAAAGGCGAAGAGTCGACAGCTCAACCAAAGAAAGCCTTCGTGCTGGAATCCGCTTTGAGGATGACCGGCAGTACTTGGCTCCATACCTTTTCACCAAACGCCCTTCCCTCTTCGGTCTTCAGCATCGGGCCTGGCTCAAATACTCGATCATTCTTCCACATCTCCCCATGTGTTTCCTCGCCGCGGACCAGGGCTGCGAGGTAGGAATTGGCACCCTGCTCGGCCGTTCGAGAGAAGATGCTGTGCAAGAGCCACTGGATGAACCTGATTAAAAAGTTGGTAGCCACATTGCGTCCCAGGTCGCTTTTGCACATGCCCGGGCAGGTAGTGTTGATGATGACTTTGGGCTTGCCACCAGCACCCTGGACGGCAGGTGACGCAGCGAGGTGACGAACTGCGTACTCGAGCACCAGCTTGGACCTGCCGTATTGTGTTGCTCCACCAGCAATCCCTGGAGGGAAATTCTGTTGCGCACTCAGGTCCTCCAGAGGCGTTTCGCTGGCGATAAATGTCTTCATCTGCTCCGGCTTGATTATCCAGGCAGTGCCAGAGGATATGAATGTGAGGTGGGGCTTGTAGTCTTTATTGTTGCCCGAGTCTGCTGCGGCAATGAGAAGTGGTAAGACAAGAATGCCCAGCAGGAACGTGCTGAGGGTGTTGACTTGGAGCGTCTCCTCCCAACCGTCATTGCTCTGGATATATTTCCCGTTCAACATCCCGGCGTTCAAGATTGCGCCGTCGATGGCTGGGAATCTGGATTTGAGCGTCTCTGCAAAGTTTCGAACTTCAGCGAAGGAGCCCATGTTGAGCACCATGGGAATGATTTCAGTCTTGTTGGCCACCGTAGCTCCCGCACCGGCTTTGACAAAGTCTTCGATCTCCTTCTTCGCGGCCTGACCCTTTGCTTCAGTTCGTGCTGTAATGATGAGTCTGTCGGCGTGAAGCGCCGCAATCTTTTTGGCAGCCTCCAGTCCTAATCCTGACGTGGCGCCTGTCAACAGAATTGTGCGAGAAGCGAAGGACTCGGTCACGGGCTTGGGCGGGTTGAGCTTCTGATCGAACATACGTTTCAAGCCAAAGACCGACATGGTGAAACTGTTGGGAGGTGGTAGTAGCTTGTCCGATGCGGTTATATGGGAGGATTTCTCAATCGCAGAGGGCCCCTAGGCAACTATAATATAGGCTGTAGCCACAGTCGATCAACGATTGCTTTCCGTCGGACTTGTTGTTTATCCGTAGTACAGGGCTAAGGTGACTGCTGACAATGTCCTGATTGGCGCGTCGCCGCTTCGTATCGGGACTAATTCCCAAAGCACTCGCTGATTTGTCGCTTGATTAGTTTTCCTGGATGGGAGGAGGATTTGCCGCTCGGAATTCACACACGTCCGAACTTCCAGGCGGCTGTCTGCTCTGCCGTGCTTGTAGTGGATGGAAGATTGTGAGGCAGAAAATGGTTGTAGTGAGATCTTTCCAGGGGGTTTGCAGAGGGTGCTTTGGTCCTACCTCATTTCAACATCCAATCTCTTCGCTGATGGCACAAGTCGACGCCTGAGAAGAAATGCAGAAACATGGGAGTCAACAAATGATTATTATTCGTTGAGAGCCGCGCTTAGAATAGTTCACACGGCGAAGTATTTCGAACGGAAGCGCAGTACTGCTCCGCGGCACGAACTTTGGTCTGCCGACTCCACTACATTTTACCAAGTCTGTAGAAATCTAGCGAGTCTAGGTAATTTACACGTACATCCCGCTTCCATCAACTCGTCACCCTCCCCTACGATTGTGGACAAAACTTCTCCCATGAGACTTTTCTGGTCGCAGCAGCTGCCATGATCCTAACTGATGCCGACTGCCCAATCCCTACCGTCCACGTTTCTCTTAACCCCCATCGGTGATAGACACTAAACACTACACAAACCGTGTACCATCCGTACCCTCGGTGTTGTCATTCCGCAATATGGAAAACCTCAATCTCAATGACCCCCCTCCGCCGGCTGCGTCGCCACAACGGCCACCACATCCAGCGCAGCACCCCCATCAGCAAAATGCGGTCTTCCCGGGTCCCCCTCCACCCCAAGGTGCGCCTCAATTGCCGCCGCAAATGTTCACCACCGCCGCGCAGCTGTTGGATCTAACGGATAGTGCGTTCTCTCGTCTCATTGCGTTGTCGCAGACAATAGATCTCACACTTTTTTTTTGTTCTAGAGAAACTCCTCCTCGTCCTGCGCGACGGACGCAAGATCTTCGGTGTACTACGATCATGGGATCAATTTGCGAACCTCGTTCTCACTGACACGAGAGAGCGCTATTTCGTCTCTGTACCCTCATCTGCCTCCACGGCCCCTGCGAATTCTCAGTCGCAACCCGAGCAGACACAGCCCACACGCAACCTCTACTGCGACATTCCCCGCGGCACCTTTCTTGTTAGAGGTGAAAATGTGCTTCTTCTAGGTGAAGTGGATCTCGACAAGGATGACGAACCCCCTCCCGGGTACGAAGAAGGGGATATTGAGGAGGTGTTCCGAATACACAAAGAGGCAGAGATGGAAAGGAAGAAGAGAGATCGACTGAAAAGCAAGAGGACGGCGTGGAGAGATCCTGAGGGGAGCGGGGAGGTCTTGTTTTGATGTATTGCACGAAATATAGTCCATGCCCTGGCAGTGTGCGCAGGGAGGATGTGCTTTCACGCATGCAGTACGAAGACAATACTGGCTTTTACAGCGACGACATCTCCGTGATTGCGAGGTTGGAGTGGAGTTGACTGACAGGTTTAGTCCTTCGTCTGGCAGGGACCGGAGAGCATCAAAACTACTGAAGAAGGTCTATCCCATCTGCAGGCGAGCGAGCCTCTTGCTATTGTATTTGTTGTGATAACAAAAGCAATTGCACGAAGCAAGGCGCACACAGACCAGGAGCAGAATATTGTGAAATGCTCCTCTTATATTGATGCACGGCGGCAACGATATTTTGTTTTGCCCCCACAAACTCTGATATCTTCTCCTCTATCTCTAGCAGCAGCAACAAACAATCAATGCCGTCGCTGTTATGTGTCTGTTGGCATGACCATCGCCGCCTTTTCGAGGGAGTCACAAAGCACCGGATGAGACATAAGCTCACAAGAATTCTACTAGCATCATTTTACCCCCATTGACACGACCTGTCAATCTCCCACCAGATCCTCGCCGTTCAATGAACGAATGACATATCGTCCAGCATAAACAGGTCTTGAACGGGAGACTTCTCGCACTGTTGGATCTGATGGAAGTCCAGGCGAATGATGAGACCGAATCGTCTTGTTCACCAGGTCCTTTGTTTCGTGCAAGGTTTTCTAACCTGTCCTCCCTTGCATCCCACAGTCTGTGAGCATCCACAGATCGTTTCTTTTCACTTTGTTCGATTACACACAGTCTCTGTGGCCGCGTGTTTGCTTCCTCTTAGGCCCTTGTCATGTCTAATCCCGATTTCCCTCCCTTCCATTTCAGCTAGAAGGCAATCTCCCCAACCAGTTCAGCACCATCATGGCCTGGGTGACAGCGATCTTTTCTCCAAACCTCATTCCGTCCCAACTGGTTGTCTGTACCGTCATGTTCCACATTCTCAAAACTTCTACGTCGTTGTCCTCGGCCACGAGCGCGAGGCGCCGATCAAAGTCCCATATCTCCTGGTTTCCCTTGCGACCGCGGATCTCAGTGTGGCCGGACGCAGTGGGGCCGATCCAGAGCATAGGCGTCTTTCTGTGCGACGCGTCTGCCAGGGCCAAGAATTCTTCGAGCGACGCGATGGCGGTCTCCGGGGTCGCAATGTTCGGAGAGAGCCCGTGGACGATGGCGATTGGGTGATAGTTTGATCGTGCCACGCGAGGGACTAGTTGTTTGAACTTTTCAATCACAAATGACGGTGCTGGTGAGGTGCTGGTCTCGAGGAAGGAATGGGCCGTTCGGCTGCAGAGATAGGGTTGATCGGCGCGGCCTAGATGGTGGCTTGTGAGGTCGTTGCTAGATGTGATGAAGTGCTCGGAGCAGGCTTGAGAGGTGAACTGGTTGTCACAACTACATTGGCGGAGCCTCTCTTTGTCCATGTCCCAGGTCCTAAGGGCTCCGTGAGTCAAGTCTTGTCGCAAGAGGATGCTGAGTCCGTTGTAGATGGCCTGGATGCTGCTGTCACCCACAAAGACGATGGCGTCAAAGCGTTCCAGGATCATGCAGATCTCTTCCACCGAGTACCAATGGTAATGACAGTCTAACGTCACGGGGTTTTAGGAAGGGTACGATATGTGTTTGACGCGGCAGGAATCTCACCTCTTGGGAAGTATGGCGCATCAAACCCGATCCTACCCCCTCCTGACATGGCCTCCAGAAGATCCTTGCGGCGAGGACAGTAGGCCGTGGGAGCGCCATGGAGCGGTGGATCCTGCGACGGAGGCTGGTACAGATCGACGGCACGAATGTTACACTTGGAAGATCCACGAAAGGAACCAAAGTAACTGGTTCACTTGAACGTCAGGTTCGTGCCTACACAACAAACATTTGGTGGAGACTTGCTTGTTCAGATCTTGAGAGACCACGGGAACTTTGTCGGACTGCTGGCCAGGGGTCCAATGGCCAGGCAAGGGCAGGACGTAGTACGTGAGGTACAGGATGAAGCAGAAGTAGACAATGGATAACAGATGGTACATGACACGCGGGAAGTTCGACTCGTTGAAGTAATCAAGCCCATCTCTGAAGTGCCATTTCAGTCGGGTTAAGAGGGGAGGTCTGAGTGGCTGCAGCGGCAGTTCCTGATCTTCCTTTGCCATTCTCAATCGATTCTTGACAGGTCACCAAGGGGGAAAAGATGAACAGTCAAAGGTGCGAAATGCGCCGAGATGGAGGGCTTCTGATGAAAGTAGAGACCGAGGAGAGAGATAATGTCGCTGGGGCGTTGTGACTGCGTTACTGGATCAAACTCGTCTGAAGGGCTTCCGCTTCTGATGTTAAGTTGGAACAAGGTCTTTGTCAACCTCTGGCATTAACTTTCTCTCACTGCATTCCTTTCAAGTGACTGAGCAGTCGCAGCGACGAGATCTGGTCCCTCGTTACTCATTCACTCTCGTTCTTCGTTCCCTAAGCTCGTCATTATAGGAGATCACCCTTTCATATCCAACGGCCAACAGCAATGCTCATCCCATCCTCGTGATGCAGCCAAATTCTTCTTAGCGGTAGCGATAGCGAGAACCCCCCGGCCTCTACTGTACCTACCCATGCAAACCTGAAGCGATCGAGAAGTCCGAGCAAGACCATACACGGGACGAGGTAGACGGTCACAGAGCTCATAAAATCCCAAGCATCGGATTCGGAATCAACAAAAGCTGCTTGAATGAACGGGCAAAGGGATGCCATCAATTCTCGCACCCTTCCGAGGTCGAATAGGGATGGAAGCTGCATTACAGTAGTAGGAATGGTATTCAACACATCCAACACATGGGCCTTGACAGCCACGTTAGAATTTTCACACACAGAAGACACAGAATGTTTCGCTCCAGCCACAGACTCCGGATCTTGTGAGGCAAGAGAAGGCGAGTCTATATTCGTTCCTGGCTAGTCATAAACGACTGGAGCTTCCTAGGAACAACAAGACCATATCGGGAGTGAGAAAAGCTTCTTCCCACCTCCCACATGTTTTCAGGTGTCGCTTCAAAGATGTCTTCGATTTGAAACACCCAAATGAGCCAACGATGCATTGCGCCCATGGCACCGTATGGAGCGGGATTGAACCGGGGCCATCAATCGAGACCTTGACAAACCAGAAGGAAGAGGCAAGGAACGAGAGCGACAAGCGATGCTCTCGAGCAAGGGTCGAATGACCTCATGTTTTGTAAGAAAGAACTGGACATGGTCAAGGCCAATCAAAAAAAAGGATGGGTGCTAGAAAGTAGTTGGATGTTCGGCGGACACTCGGAAATGAAATGGGCGAAACAGCATCGAGCCTCGTCGGAAGGGCTTTGGGAGGCAACCGGAGCAAAGGGAAGGGCAGAAAGGCTCGAGGCTGACGGTGGTCCTAAAGGAGCTTGAGGAGCCAGAGAAGGAGAGACGGCCAGCCAAGTCCATGAGTCCGAGATCCAATCAGGGAGGATATCGGGCACAACTCCACAATCATTATGCTCCCCACAGCCGAGAAGCCCAAGCGGAAGATGAATTGCCAGGGCTGTTGAGCCAGGGCTAAGCCTAGGCCCAGAGCCTAAGGACCACCGCCCACGAGCATTGCCGCAGCACCGCAACACCCACAAAGCACCACCAACCCTTGTCCCTCTCTGGTTGCTGCTCACACGCACGAGTCACATACACACAATCACCTGTCACCTGCGTCGTCTAGCTTTCCCAATTTTTTCTCTTTTGCATGCTGTACTATACTGCGCTGCCATTGCCTCTCCCCTCACTTATACATTGACAAGACGTCCCTTGTCCAGGTGCTCGCAGTCGAAGGAGAAACCTCATCCAGCCCACCTTGAGCGACTTTCGTCACTGCCGCACGCTGCCTCGGCACCCCTACAGTGAACCTCCAACGGTCGGAGAACATCGGACCTCGATCCTCCACACGTTCCTGGCTGGTTTTCGAGTCATACTGCTGCACCAAGTCAATTGTTGCTGTCCCTTGATTCATTCATTCAGGTCCTTCGAATTGTTCGTCCCTACCGAAGCAGGCCGCAAGGCCTGAACGTCGCTCAAGATGTCGTGGAAGCCTACTGAGAAGCTCATGCAAACCATTGGACACTATGCCAGCTTTCCGCCCACAGGAGTCAGTCTTCGACAGATGGTTCAGTTTGGAGAGAAGCCTTCTGCTGGTATGTCAATGCAAAGACTCGCGCCCGCTCTCGGGACTGTGGCTGACTCTGCGTATAGGAACTCTGTTTCGTGCGTCACAATTTCTCTCCGAAGAGCTTCCCGTTCGTCTCGCGCACCGTGTAGAAGAGCTGGATAAACTGCCCGATGGTCTCAATGACATGCCTTCGATTCAGAAGGTGCGAGACTGGTATGCTCAATCCTTTGAGGAAATCACCACCCTTCCGCGACCTCATTTAGACACCGAAACCCGAGACCGCCTCCTCAATCCGCCCAAGAAGTCCAGTACCAAACTCTCCGCCACCACGCGAAACCCGAGTCTCAAGGACCATGGCAATGGTAACGGCAAGAGTGGGATGAACTCGCGTCGCTATTTCGCAGCTCTGGACGACGGCAAGGAGTGGCCTCCCGTCCTTTCCGAGTACAACCGCAAGTTCGCCCGAACCCTGGAGATCATCAAGAGAAGACACGACCCTGTTGTCACCACTGTGGCCCAGGGCATCAATGAGTGGAAGCGTAAACAGCAACGTATGCAGATCGACTCCTCCATCCAGTCCTTCCTCGATCGGTTCTACATGTCCCGCATTGGCATAAGGATGCTTATTGGGCAACATATTGCTTTGACCGATCAGACCACCAACAGACACCCCAACTATGTTGGCATAATATGCACCAAGACCAACGTTCGGGAATTGGCAGAAGAGGCCATTGAAAATGCCCGTTTTGTGTGCGAGGATCACTATGGCTTATTTGACGCCCCCAAGGTCCAGCTCTTCTGCCCACCCAACCTGACCTTCATGTACGTACCGGGTCACTTGTCGCACATGCTCTTCGAGACCCTCAAGAACTCGCTGCGCGCCGTGGTGGAGACGCATGGGGCCGAAAAGGAGGAGTTCCCTGTAACAAAGGTGATTGTGGCCGAAGGGAAAGAGGATATCACGATCAAAATCAGCGACGAGGGAGGCGGAATTCCACGATCTGCCATTCCACTCGTCTGGACTTATATGTACACTACAGTCGACACGACACCAGAATTGGATCCGGGTTTTAATGCTAGTGACTTCAAGGCGCCGATGGCTGGGTTTGGGTATGGTTTGCCACTGTCGAGATTGTACGCAAGGTATTTTGGTGGAGATTTGAAACTGATTTCCATGGAAGGGTGAGTCTCTTTGCCCCCGCTTGTTCCTGGTTTGAGTGCAGTGGAGCTAACAGGTGCTGCAAAAAGATATGGGACCGACGTCTACCTCCATCTCAATCGACTTTCCTCGTCAGCAGAGCCTTTACAATAACAATTAGCAGTCATGAGGGACAAGGGCGGATCCCAAGGATTGGCGTTGAACAAGAACAATAAGATTGAGTCTGATGGGCCGAGGAGCTCGATCCCCGGCATCAGCAGTGGGCGTCTGGCCGCCGTGCGTTCACGATTGAGGAGTCGGGAGGTGACGGAAAGAAAACAGGTGGGAGATGCTGAGAGCATGATTAACGAGGAGCCCAGCGTGGTTCAGCCAGGGGGAGCCAGTCAGTGGCTGGAATGAATTTGGGTTACTATGATGGGGAAGTCATTGTTGATAGGGGTACCAGACAAAGAAACCAAGTGATTTGTGTTAGATGCCACAGAAATGGGGTGTGCGCCGTCGCCTGATAACGCCTTTGTTAATGCTGCTGGTATGGTCAGCCTCGTCTCGGTCACTCCCGGTAGATTATACGAGGTATACCGGTGCCTCATCGCAGTAAGCGACGAAAGGATGCCCAATCCAGCAAGGTTCCGCCTACCGCGGGAACATGTCTATTGTTGCCATCAAAGCGGCTTGCTTAACTCGACACCCTTCCTGCTGTTGCTGCTGCTGCTCCAAGTGCTCTTTTCTTCCAGGCCCCATCCAAGTTTGGGAGACTTGTTCCTTCCGGTATCTCCCGAGGTCGGCATTCCTCGGAATTCACTTGGTATCCTCTGAAGTGGGTGGTTGCGCTTCGCACAACGATGTCGGAGTTTGCGTAGATGTGGGGTCGGCGACAGGGTGGTACCCGGAATCTGGTTCGCCATGTGTGTATGTGTGCGTGTGCGCGCGCACAGCACTTTGTAGTAGTGTCACACGACGGAGGGGGCAGCAGCCGCAGTGACATACGAGGCAGTTGGAGGTACCAAGGACGAAGGACAGTGCTGTGGTTGGTGGAAAATTGGTTTATCCTCGTACATGGCACTGGCCTCGTACGTCGTACGAGGTACTCCTTCTTCTTCCGCCAATGGCAAAATCTCCTACCGTGAGCTTGGCAGTCTGGTCCAAGCGAGAGGCTCTGGTTGGTCTGAGATCAACAACATGCCTGGCCATACAATCTCGTCAGGGAATTCAAGGGGTTTTAAAACCAGAAAGTTGCCTCTGCCTCTGGCTTAGCAGGTTGCTTTGGAAAGTACGTGAGTGCAATAACGTTGTGCGTCTTGGCTGGGTGAGCCCGAATGTCCTTCGATTAGCTGTTGCCACGGCTTGTGAGTGATGGGAAAAGAGGGGCGGTCAACATTCCACTGGCAGGATGGCAGCATACTTGAAGATGTTGATGGTGTGGCGTGAATTTGCTGGGACCTTTCCGTTTCCTGTCACCCAGACAACCTCGCTAGTGACTAGTCTCCTAGTGCTGAGGGGCTGTGAATTGGCCTTAGAGTATCACAAGGCGACGTGAAGGGAACGAGGCTGAGTGACTTTCTGTCTTACAACCACTTTTAACATTCACGCACCAAACGCACATTTCCACGGGTTGTGTCCGACAGAAAAATCTTTTTCTCTGGGAGGGACTCATAACAAAAGGCCTTGGACAATGGATTTGATTGGAGAGACGACCGTGATCTGGTCTCTACTGACAGGCGCCTATTCTAGCTCCGTGTGTGTTGCCACTACCCCCCACGACATCCTTGTGTGTTTGGCCCAACTTTGCAACCGTTGCCATGTTCCTGTCCGCTAGCGGCCAATGGCCCCTGAGATGAATTATGAATAGGATCTCAGGTGCCCTTTTTGCAATCTTGTCCTCTCCTTCCACCCAACTCTCTTTGCCTCGCCATGTTTTTGTTGGGTTTGTCTGTTTTCTTGGGTTGGGGGATCTCCATTGCCGTATCGCGTCGCTTTCTTGGTTGGCGTCGTTGCTTGACTAGGCTAAGCATCTCAAGAGTTTCTCCTGAGTTGGCTTAGTAGTGTGTTTGGTTGGAGGAGGGGCATTCTGTACTTACGCGAGGCAATTCATAAGGCGCCAGGTACCAAAGTTGACGTTCCAGGTACTATGAATTGATCAGCCAATGTCGACTTGGAGGTGAAGCAGGTAACGAACAGCGAATTCTGGATCGTACCCAGGAGGATACTCATCGAACAACGCCTGGACAAAGAATTCGAAGTACAATCTCGTGACTTCATCGTGTACAATGGAGTACCACTGATGACCTGCTCTCGGAGGAAGCTCATCCACCAACATTTTGCCGGTGACGATGTCAGGAGGCCTGAGTGGGTAGGATGGATTGGAATCTTGTAAAGACTGAACTGACTAGGGGCTCTTTGTTTGGTTCAATGAGGAAGACGAAGGTGGAGGAAGAAGGAGGTGGATGAGGATGAGGATGAGGACGAGGACGAGGACGAGAATTTAAGGAGAATGTTACGGAGAAGCAGTTTGAGCAGCCATGAGCGGCCGTCCTGAACCGTCCTGAACCGTCCTCACCCGCCATCAGCCGGGACACCTGTGTAGGCAGCCATCCGTGAAGATGGACTCACCTTGTGTGACACTGTGGTGGTTGACTGCCTCACACTTCCGACAATCTCGTGACGATCCTGGTTGTCAGCCTCGCCAACGCTGAGTCTTTCAGTTTGCTGCTGGCTTTCTTGTGCGACCATCCTGTGGGTTCCCTGCAGCTCTACGCAACAAGAAATATCTGCCTCAGTGTAAGGGGCCATGTTGCTGAAAGGCGGTCTCGAAGAGGGCCAAATCCACAACTCCAGCGCTCATACAAGTCACTACTGTGTGTCGGTGAGGTTCCAGCATGTTCAGTTGACAGACTATGCCAAATCCCGTTGATGGCGAGACGGTGAGGAAACATGCGCCCTGGGAACCGGCCTGTATGGGAATGACGAAGGTGCAGTCTATCCTCAGTCGATCATCGCATGTTGCTAAATACTGACATCCTAGCCATGTCGCGTCGCTCTGATCTGGTGTCACTTCCTGGGTCTCACAGGCGTGAATCTTCCAAGATTGCCGTGTGTGTGAGTTGGTTGTGTTCAGACCTGTCCCACATGGATTGGGCAGGCTGGAAGAACCCGGCCAGAGATGGCAGATTAGGTTATCAGGCTGTCATATATCCCGACGACAAGTCGTCACAGAAATGTCGACTTCTTTTCGTCGCTACACAGCAGGTATGATGACAGCTTCCTATTCCACCAACACGCTCCTGTGAACTGATACAAGCCGCAGCAAAAGACACAAGACAAGCCAGTCGAAACGAACAAGTGTTTGAATAAATCTCCAGCCACTACATGCATGGACGATTACTTGAGAGTTCGAATGCCGGATAATTTCAACACCAAAGGAAAAAGCATGGTGACAGTCGAGTGCTTGCCCTCCTCCTCCTCCTCTTCCTCTTCCGCCCTCATGTCATCCGACCAGGAGGAAGCCAGTGCAGGCCTTCTTAAAGAGATTGGATGCTGTGCCAATTGTATGCCAGGGATTCTGAGACATGTCTGTTCACACTGGCGATAAATCCCCGGTGCTCTTCTGACCGTGTTCCAGCTCGAGGACTCTGCTTCCCTTCGTTTGTTGTACGTCTCCTGTATCTCCGCCTTATCCAGCAAGCACGCTAACATAGTTCAGGATCAGTTTTCGAGTTCCATCCGGCGGCGCTCACGAAAAATCAATCAGAAAAGGGGGTAAACATGCCTTTTGGCCGAAAACTGACAATATGCCAACATTCCTAAAACCGATATACCTTGGCCTTTCCGAGGACTACTGCAATGAGATATTCTCCATCTTGCAGATACCGAGGCTTTGTATTGACAACGCGACTAGTGTGCGGGAGGAGGCTTTATTTTCACACAGCGAATATTCTGTCGACAACTGTACCCAGCTCGGCAAGTTTTCTCCTGGCCCGTCATCAAAGACGAGTTTGTGCTGACGAAAGCTCACAGAATACGTGCTAAGGACAGAGAGCTGTCTCCCGAACGATCTGACACTCGCGGTCTCCTGGAGATGGTCTGGAGATGGTGGGAGTACTCAGGCCTTTCTCCACGGGTGTTCGTCCAAGCACGACCAAGATGCTGCCACTGCATCCACTGAGGACTGCGACGAAGCAGACACGATCAGACAATGGCTTGATGGGATCCCCGCGGGTAAATCTCTAGGTCTTTGGAGACATCCCCTGCTCCCGGCCCTCCTGCTCGGGGAGATGCAGCTGACACGCCACGCTGATCGCTTTGAGAGTCTTAATCGGAAGTTCAGCCAAGTATTCCATGACATCCAGATAGCCGCTCGTCAGCCACACCTTGCCGACCATTGGACAAATAGGCAGGTCTCGAAATGGCTTCAAGATATTTGCGACATGTTTGAATATCATCACAAATTCCGACGAATCATCGTTCTCTTCATCGAGATCCTGGAGACTCTGCTCAAGTTGTGTGGTGAAGCCAACATCACTGGGACTTCCAAAGCACACCAGGATTTCCGAATCGCTTCAGAGTCCATTGCTTGTCGCTTTCGGGGCCTGCTTCAGAACTACTCTGCCCTAGAAGGCCAGGCACAATTTTTGATCGACGGCACTTCGTTGCTCCAAGAAACGGTTAGTGTGCAACTCTTCCGCCCCCTTCTCGTATTGGAATTTGACCGGGGATCTAGCTATGGGGTGTTACTGCACAAAATAACAGCCAGATAAACACAAAGATCTCCAATACAAGCAGAGCCATCGCAAAGGCTGCGAGTCAAGACAGCTCGGCCATGAAAGCACTGGCCGTGATCACTGCAATATTTCTACCATCTACAGCAATAGCGGTAAGTGCTGTTCATGCCGAAGCCCTCTGCCCGCTGGGCCATGTTCGCTAACGTTCCGTGGACGTCTACACATAGACAGTGTTCGCCTTGCCGATAATCGATTGGACAAAACAGGAGGCATTCCCTCATATACGGAAGAGTATCTGGATCTATGTGGTGACATGCCTTGTTCTGACGGGCACCACTCTCTACTTTTGGCGTTTTTGGCACCTACGAGATCTCTGGAAGCGAGATGTCAACTCAAAGGCGGATGAAATCTCGGCCAATAAAACGGAGTCTAGAACAAAGCCCCAACAGGCTGGAGGTGATACAAGTGAATACGACGGAGCGAATCAAGGGCAAGTGGTCGATACTCAGGCGCTCTTGTCGAAGGGGAATAGAGCAAAGGAGGATCGCGAGCGAGTCCTGGGCGAGGCAAAGAGACAGTGGCCGTATCCGCTCAAGCAGCTCCTCCGCTTGAAGCGTCATTACCAGCAGCCGGACGAGGAGTCCGTGTTGGTTATCACTCGCAGCGAAGACTCAGCACCGTCCGATCAGGGACAAACCCACAACGCCAACCGAGAGTCCTCCGGCGTCCACGACGAGGCTGATCAGACAAGTGACAAGAAAGAGGCGAGTCGGGATGACCAACGCCATCGTATTGGCGACAGCAGCAGGAAACCCCAGTCACCAAGAAAGTCCACAGCAACACCAGCGCCACCACCACAGAAACCAGAGCCTTCGAGCCTAACAACATCGCCAGGGAAGCCTTCTTCACAGGCGACACCCTCAACAACCTTTACCGCGGAACAACCAACAGCCTCAGAACTGAGAACTCCAGAGACATCGAATTCATCAGAGACGAGACCCTCAACGGTTAGCACGCCAACAGACGGGCCCACCTTGGTGACAAAGCCGTCAACGGAGGAGGCGGATTCATCCACGGCAGCGAGTACTACGGGACAGGCGACCACGACGGCTGCCTCGCTTCAGCAAGGCTCTTCCTGTTCAGACGGTCAGTCAATCAACAAATGACCTGCCACCAGCATGGAAAGACAGGTGCTGCTGGGGAAAGGGCTCCTCGACGCGCAGGCTGCGGTTTGACAGATTTCAGTAGGAACTTTGACCATCACCGACTCGCGGTATGTACGGCGCGAACCATCCCCTCTATAGCCAGCCAGATAATTGTCCTCGCCGAATTTTTCCCCCATGTATCAGGAAAGTTGTTTCTCGGTCTGTTTTGAATTGGAGCCCAAACCTTTCCAGGCCAAAGCCTCGTGGGTGGGTATTCTTTACGAGGTACTCCCAAACTGTTCGTGGCTTTCCTGGCAGCCTGGCTATTCACCGAAATGGGATCCGGTGATTAAAGTTATTAATAGCGTAATATTACAGCCGTATTAGGCTAGACCATCGCTTGAACAGGGGCGCATACCTTGGCATCTAATTAGAGAGCACGTGCCTCCACCTCGGGGAGAAAGAAAGCCTTGGCCGACGTCCCTGTCTTGACTTGCAAGTTGCATTCTTCTGTGCAGGAAGCTGTTCTCTCCTCGTCTCACCTCGGACGGCGAGGTGAGTGACCACAAACTTTTGTTTACCGTCATATTCCCGCTTGAAGAGTATCTGTTCGACGTAACCCCCAAGCATGCTGCCGAGTGATTACACCGCGGCGGGCTCCGGCAAGCTCAAGCTCAAAGGCGTCAAGGACTCCAAGGTGGACAAGAAGAAAAAGAAGAAATCGTCGTCCAAGGGCCCGGGGAATGAGACCCCTGCGCGGGATCGAACGCGGGGTGGAGAAGGGCTTGACGACGAGTTCAAGGATCGGTCAGTCATGCTGAGAAATCTGGAGGACGAAGATCAGAAGATGGCGGCTGAGGAGGCCAAGAGTCTCCAGAAGCGACGGGCCGATTCAACCGGAGGTGGCCACGGTGATGCCGAGCCCATCGAGGAAGAGGACGGCGGCATTGTCAAGACAGAAGCTGAGAGACGGTATGAAGAGCAGAGACGGAGAAGGGTGCGTTCTATCCTCCTCCCATTCCTATTCATACCTACTTTTGTAGAGGGGTCCACCTTCTCGGTCTATGAAAATTTTACGAATGTTACGTGCTGACCTGTCCGGTGACTGTAGCTTGAGGAGCGTCTAAAACGAGAAGGTGTCAAGACGCACAAGGAGCGTGTTGAAGAGCTGAACCGCTATCTCAGTAGTCTGAGCGAGCACCATGACATGCCGAGAATAGGACCGGGCTAATATAGGCTCGATGAAACAAGGCTGACATTGGAGACGGGCTTGCCATACACATGTTGTCCACACCGGCTAGGACGATACGGGAAACCATCCAAGTTCATCGTTTTGCGGCAACTTTTTGGTAATGGGCGGCGATAACGTGCCGTGTAGTCCTCTGGTCCTGATGGCCATGGCTCTTGAAACGTCTCGGAAGGAAAAAGTCCAGATGGCATAAGACAAAGCCGGACCCCGTGAGCGTTAACCTTGGATCATACCAAGGAGGGGGCTGGAGAAAGATCCCATCACAGACGTTTTTGCCAGGCGAGCGGGACCGGCACTCATGATGAAATCATATGATCGAGAAGCGGTCGAGTGAACAATGAATGTGCTTTATCTTGTAATTCCACAATATCATCTGTTTATGTACAATGCTGTGTTCCACCAATGGCCATATACAGCCGCCACCACTACTCTTCATACTCCGCTCGTCCTGGTTTCGAGTTGAGGTATTCGTTCCTGTGTTACGCAAACCCAGTCAGTATCCAACTCCATGCTTATCCACAGTCAACGTCCATCTCGAGCTCATACACACCTCTCTGTAGCCCAGTCCATCGCCAAGTACGCAATCAAGAAGGGAGGTACCCAGTACAGAACCTGGTTTCGTGATCGGCGGAAAGTGTTGAAGAGGGCGTCGGAAAGGAGGGTAGACGTAGGGTTCTGTCGGTTCGGCGACATAGCATACGTGACAATGTTCTTTTGTGTCGGAGACCCTGTGTCCAAAGTCAATGTCTTGTTGGTGGTGGTTTCAGAGGCAAGCTGGTGGCTGGGAAGGATCCGAGGGCTTCAAGGACTGAACAATCCCGTACCTAGATTTCCCCACGAGCCAATGTACCTGTGTATCAAAGTCCGTTAGTTTGCAAAGTCGCAGGAAAAGTAGGGCTTTTGGGTGAGTTGGAACGCACACTCCATTCTTCGGGTCAGGGCCGTGACCGGAGCGGAGGATGCGGGTAGCTTGCATCCGCAGAGCTGGGGTAGGACGCATTTTGAGAGATGATACTGTGCAGCCACGGCGGATCCCAGAGTTGAGTTGAGAGATTGTTGCTGAAGGTCAATGTGCCTAGTTGAAGTTGCGAGGTGAAGGACGAGAAGCTCGGCCGCAGTCTCGAAAAAGGCTTGGCGCAGCTTATGTAATGGATAGCTCTAGGTTGCGTTGGTTGCGCATGGCTGCGGAGAAGATTCACCTCACGACATTATTGCATACTCGACTACATCAACAGTTCACGACGTCCGAGAAACAGCAGAATCCGTTGTTGGATGGTGGCAAGCTAGAAAAAGATTGAACACAACCTCAGCTCCCTCTGAGCCTCTCACCACCATGTCTGCGCCGAACGTCCTCAACGCCATTTCACGATGGGCGATCCCCGTTTTCATCGGTGCCTCGTTAGCACAAAGTGCCATGTACGATGTGAGAGGTGGAACGAGAGCCGTCATCTTCGACCGTCTCTCTGGTGTTCAGGAAAAAGTCATCAATGAAGGGACTCATTTCCTCGTACCATGGCTGCAGAAAGCCATCATCTACGACGTGCGGACGAAGCCCAGAAACATCAGCACCACCACCGGGAGCAAGGATTTGCAGATGGTGTCATTGACGCTGCGAGTGCTCCATCGCCCGGATGTCCAAAATTTGCCAAAGATCTACCAGGTCAGTCTCCTACCAATCCCTTTCATGGCGCCAGACAGCTAACTATTTGACCACCAGTCCCTTGGTCAAGATTACGACGAAAGAGTTCTCCCATCTATTGGCAACGAAGTCCTCAAAGCAATCGTGGCTCAGTTTGACGCGGCAGAACTGATCACACAACGAGAAGCCGTCTCACAACGTATCCGAGCCGACTTGACTCGCCGGGCGCAGGAATTCAACATCGCCCTAGAGGATGTCTCCATCACACACATGACCTTTGGCCGCGAGTTCACGAGGGCAGTTGAACAGAAACAGATCGCTCAACAGGACGCAGAAAGAGCTAGGTTTATCGTGGAGAAGGCCGAGCAGGAGAGACAGGCGAACGTCATTCGTGCCGAAGGAGAAGCCGAGTCGGCAGATATCATCAGTAAAGCTGTGGCCAAGGCTGGAGACGGGTTGATACAGATCAGAAGAATCGAGGCGAGCAAGGACATTGCCCAGACGTTGGCCGCGAACCCCAACGTGACCTATCTGCCCGGCGGTGGCGAGGGTGAAGGTGGCAAGGGGAAAAGTACCGGTTTACTGCTGGGCTTGAGGGCCTGATCGGCACCGTGAGTGAGTGACTCTCGGACGGGGCTTGTACTGATATGATTTCACCAACAGTCGTGTGTGAAACACGTTGTCTTACTCTGTGGCATTTTACATAGTGACCAAAAACACCTCTCCAACTGGGGACATTCTCAACTTCATTTTTTTTTGGTATTACAGCCCATTGTCCAACTTTCCAAAAAAGGGGGCATATTGTCCAGAATCCGCTTCAACTACATACTAATATTTTTTCTCTTTCCCTGCGCGTCGAGCTGTGTCAAATCCTTGTCAGCTGTCCATCCTAGGTTGACTGTTCTGTTTCGCTCGCACTCTCTCGCTCTCCACACAACGAATACATACTGAGCCCACTCGAAACCCGAGAGGGGAGGCGGAAAGGGTTCGACGGAATAAGACAAGGGCTGGCCCGCCTCCAGAGCCTGACCTTTGACAAAGCCTCTCCGACCCTTTTGTCTTACTACCACGTCTTCTTCAGAGGCGATGTCTCAGAGGTACCTAACTACGTCGACAGGTCCGGGGAAGAGGCGAGCGATCGAAAACAGCGATCGTGCAGAGAAGACTCTGAAAGGGGGACGGCTTTTGAGAGACAAAAGACCACATTTCCTTGGTCTTTTGGGGCAAAGGATAAGGACAAAAAAAAGATGCCTGGAGACAAAGAGAACCTATGGCGGGTGGTGGTGGCCATGGTCAAGTCAGATGGTCAAATGCCCAGCCAGTCTAGGCGTCTCCATTCGGAATCAAGAATGCAATATATACACTATCAGAAGTGAAGAATAACAATAACAATAATGATAGCCAATAGACAAGGAACCGACAGTGTTGCGGTCTCTCTCCCTCGAAGGGGCAATAGGGAAATGGGGGAACGTTCTTGAAGCGATAGCAATCACGACTTTCAGAACCTCATCATCTTCCTCCACGGCTTGTAGTTGAACTGCTGCCTCTTCACCATCTTACCGCTCGAACCGCTCTTCGTCCATACACTGAGGGCGCCGGGTCCTCCGCACATCTCCCCTTCTGCCCCAGTGCACGCCATGTTGCAACTACCCTCATCCAACACCGGAGTGGTGATCTCGTTGCCACAGAAACATTGTCCGGCGTATTCAGTGCCTGCAACAGTATATCCGCGTGAATCGCAGAACGAGACGCAAGCGCCGTTGCTCATGTTCGGGCCGTTGAAGTTTGACCATTGCGCAAGGGTACGCGGGTTGACGGTGTCCGTGAAGCAGCCGGTGTAAGACCAAGACGGGTTTGACGACGAGGGCACAGTGGGTGTAGACGACGCCTCGGTAGCAGGTGAAGATGAGGACGATGAGCTCTTGGTAGGCTAAATTAACAACTGTCAGACTGAATATTTTTGATTTCTCCTTGGTCTTTTGGACCTCAAACCTGGGATTGAACTGGGAAGAAGGGAATTGGGGCATAACAGATTAGGGAGACGAGGCGATAGTAGCAAGACGATGAAGAGAACGAGTACGCAGTGGCACAAAGGGTATCAAGGAGTAGTGGTCGAAAGAGAAATCGACGTCGTTGAATCAGGGGAACTGGTTGGGTTGGCGACATCTGAACCACCCGCCGATGAGGCAGCAGCGGATGGGGTCCAGAGCCGGAATTTGTCTAATTTGCATCGTCGTCATCGTCGTCCTCGACACCGTCATCATCATCACTAGGGGGAGAAGTAGAATCTGTATTTACCGAAGCTGGGTTGGTTGGTGGCGAGTCGGGGCTCTCTGTCGGGGCCGCAGCGCTGGAGGTTGTGATCGTGGCAAGTGTGGTAGGAGAGCCCGGCGCCGAATGAACACCACTTGAGGTTGATGAAGGAGCAGCGGAGGGAGAAACAACGGAAGAGGACGAGCCGGCTGGCGGGGGGTTGGCAACTTGGACAGGTGCTGAAGGACCAGGGCCGAACTGAGCGTTTGCGCATGAATCACCGGAACATTTCTGGTAAAGAGAAATAGTCCCGGCACCACCGCAGAACTCGGAGTCATCACCAGCACAGCTCATGGTGCAGGCTCCGACAACGCCAGGAACCGGCTTGCCACTGTCAGGTATGGAGTTGCCGCCTAGAGGAAAGTGTTAGCAGCTCAACTTCTGGAGATTGATAGGTACTTACAATAACATTCATCAGCATACTCAGACCCGGCGATAGAGAAACCCTTGCTCTCACAGAAAGCAACACAGTTCTCGTTGGTCATTTGACCGTTGGACTGGCTTGCACCGGTCAGAACACGATTGAAGTAGTTGTCGGTTCCGCAGCCCATGTATGACCATCCCTTGCTGGTCAAGTCGGTGAAGAAGGTGGTGTTGGAGGGAGTAATGGTAGTGGGTGCGCCGCAGCCGGACTGAGGAGTCGCTTTTGGACCAGGCTGAACGGGATTGCAACCCGGCAAAGCTGGGAGGAGACCACTGACTTGCTCGTCGACCGCTGGTGCGATACGGCAACCTTGGGCCTGTGAGTCTGGGATTAGGTCGAAAACAGGGCAGTCCTCAACCCGGCCACTGTCGTTGGTGCACTGGTCAACCGCAGACTGGAGCAAATCTGGATCCCAGCCCATGACGAAATCACCATGGCCACCATAACCAGTAGGGTCGCCCATGGACCAGACGAAGGGTTGTCCATTCCCATACCACTGATTGGCGAATTTGCCAGTATCCCAGATGACTTCGTAGAAAATTGAGATGAGATGAACAGGGAAGTCGGCTGGGCAGGGACCCGAGTTGTATGAATTGGCGGGATAAGAGACGTGAGACATATGATCCGGCGAGTCCAAGTCCTTGCCGTTCCAGCAAGAGGGAAAGAAGACCTGGGATCGAAGCCCATTGGGACAGTTGTAGTTGGGAAAGTTGGGGGTTTCTGGCTTAGCCGGACCGTTGTAATCGAGGCAGTTGTAGCTGATAGCCTGGGTTGCAAAATCGTCGCCTCCAGTTCGCTTGAAAGGGTTTCCGGCAATCATACGGAAGCCAGGAGGGAAGGCTTTCAAGGTCTCGCCATTACCGGCCCGCTGCAAGTAATACACAGTGGCGCCGCCGACCTGGTCGACACTTTCAAAAGTCCCATTTTCGTGTTGGAAGAACAAGGCTGGGATCCAGTAGTTGCTGAAATCTCCCTCCACCGTGCAAGACGAACAAGTAGACCGCTGGGTCGAGTTGTAGTCCATGGCGAAATCAAATCCGTTTCCTCCCATGATGGTGTGCAAGTGGCCAGATACTGCCCCTGGGTTCACAATAGGGTCGGCTCGCTCAACCACAATCGGGGATTTGCATGGCAGCCGCCAGAAGGCCGATACCGGCGAGGCTGCAAGAGCGGCCACAAGGCCTGTAGTGAGAAGAACGGACATGCTGCGTGCTGGTATGACGGGTACCGAATTGGAATCGAAGTCGGGAATTCCGGGAACGCTCGACTGCTGAATGCTATAAAAGAATGATTCTCTGACAAAGGACTGGACGTACGACACTTTCGCACAGCGAATAAAGAATGGACGGCGAGGGTCTCCGACTCTCAGCCAATAAACGAACGTGGTTATAACAAAAAGGACGACTTCGAATAACAATGAAAATGACTTCAGAAAGATCCCTGGGGAACGAGGACTTGATATGAAGATATACTGACTCCTCATCGCCGAGGTTCCTTGTGCTGCCATCGACATCAAGGGCTAGGATGGTCCGTTGTGAAATTGCAGACCCTGTCCTTACCTTTTCGGGATGTACAGGGTAGATCCTGTTGTACCTTTGCGTTGTGACAAGATAGACGAAGGCGTCTGAGTGGCGTGTTTGTTCCACTTCGATTCACGCCGCTGCTTCCATAGTACCAATTGGCTGGATGGGGGGTCAGATTCAAGTCTGCTGAGCAGCTCAATCTTTATCCGCTGAGGACATTGTCATTGTTTCCTCCAAGTTAGTCAACATGGGTCGGAGAGCTCTTCTCCTGCAGGTGGAGAGAAACGGCGCTGTAGCGTCCTGCCATAGTGTGAGGGACGCTTACAAGTAGGCGAAAGAAAGCGAAAAGTATCCTGGCATGGACCGATGTGGGGAAGGTTCCAAAACTAGGAGGCTGCGGAATAGGCATACATTATCAGCCGCCTGTTTCAGAAGTGATATTGAGGCTGGAAAAGGTCGATATCAAGGGCCGGGGGGGTTATCTGCTCTCAAGGAGGACAGAGGATTGTTTCAAGTTGAGCCACATGAGGGCCAAGAGACCACGAGGCGGAGTTCTCGGGCAAATCTGTCGAATTACAAGTCCCCTGGCTTTGAAGAGGGAGCATTACCAACACCTCATGCCTCTTGATCTCGAGATATGGATGTTGCTGCATTGCTCCATTGCTTGAACGGGGATATCGGCCATTGATAGACTGGTTTGACTTGACCATGCCAGCTCCTCGCATGTCGGTCGGTCGGTCGGTCTGGACTGATCTTGAACAGATCCCCTAGTCGCGGATTCGCGGAAATTCAACAACCCAACTTCGGTATTCATTTGCGCTCAAGCGTGGCCCCAGCTCTCTTGGCATCGTCCTGCATGTCATCATCAGGTCAAATGCATGTCACCGCCGTCTGAGATACTGACCATTTAAAGGGGGCTCGATATATTCTCAATCAACAACGACAAACTCGGTTAGTGCTCCGTGTGGAGGACAGAGTACCCCCTGCATCGAGGCCCGGGATACTCGTATTCGTTGAATCGACCTCCCAACACGTGGCTGAATACGAAGTCGTTAACCGCGCCGCCGATTCCCTTCTACTAGGTACTTTCATCACACCTTGGATTTGAATTTTGCAGATCCTTCTCCAAGTCGATCTCTGGCTCGCTGAACTTGCCCTCGTCTTTCAAGGCAGGCAAACAATGTTTAACTGCGTCTGCACCTATCATGGTGGCGATTTGAGAAGTCTCTCGGTCCGAATTCTCCAAGTCTGATCTGAGCTGCTTCGTGAGAAAGACCATGATCCCGGCAAGGAGATGCGTCAAGCCGGTCTTGCCCCTTCCAATGGCATCCTTGAGGCCGAAATCCCATCGCCGCTCTCGAGATCTGTCCAGTGGTATGTCCCCTTGAAGTGCTGGAACCCGTCCAAATCGATGAATGTCGATGATCCATTGCTCTGTTACGATATCACCAATAGCCACGGCCACGATCAGCTTTCCGATTGTTGTGTTTCGAATGAGCCTTCTGTGATGCATACGACTGTTGCTTTGTTTATATCTGTGCTCACTATGCTTTCCAGACGTTCAAAGCTTCTCATTACAGATCTTTTCTCCTGAATGCTGGTACTGCCACTAAAGATTACCACAGAGGCAGCACCAGAATAGTCGGGGTATGGTTCGGACGCAACTCGCCTGGTCACATGATGGTTGCTCACTTGATAAGTTGCTACGTGTAGCCGTATTTGTTGTGGAGGATGATCGACAAGCCCTTGACTGTCTGGTTGAGGCTTTGGTGGCCTGCTTTTGGGCGTGTGTGTTTCTGTTTTCTTGTCCTGAGAATTGATGCTTGCGATATTGTCGTCGGTCATCAGCTGAGATACCCGACTGGGCTTCCTCAATTTCCAGGTTCGAATCCGCTGCTTGCATTTCCTCAATCTTTCGCTTGCTCTTTGGTCGGCCAAGCGCTCAAAGAGCTGCACAATCATCTTCGCCTCGGAAATGATCTTGGGCGTCAAGGGAGCTTGGTGGAGGATTCGGAGTGGCTTCTGTGGACTGAAGACGACCATAATGATCAACAACCCTTCGATAGCGCCAGATAAGCATTCATCCGGCTGGGGCCCCTGTTCCTCCACTGATGTACGCGCTGCAGCTTGGGAGTTGTTCTAAGAAAACATTCAGCTTGTCGGCTGCGTCTTGTTCCGTGGTACCAAGCACAGCCTGTGGCGTATTTGGGACTCTCGGGTCGCTTGAACCTTCTTCGACTCTCTCGTTATCCTTTGTGCAAATTTCGACCTGATGCCTGTTGTTAGGACTTGGAGAGGAGAAGAGTCACCGCTCTGGACCTGGCTAGCTCTATTTCGGTGTCTTTGCTGACTGGACCCTGCAAATGCTCTTCAACTGCCAGGCATTTGTCGGCTCAGTCAATGACCAGCTGTAGTGGCGGAGTTCTTATGCAATTCGACCATGTTCAGTCCGCACCGCAGTGGCGAAGGCTCCAACGACCACCTGATCCCAAGAAATTGACGTCGGTGCTCAAGATGATGGACTTGTGGTGAGCGCCGGTGGACAGAGGCAACTCGATCTTGATGCTGTGTTCGCCGAGCATGAAACATGGGTCATTGGTGTTACTGAATGTGCGGAGGAGGACGAAAGTATGGTGGACGTCTGCGATAATTGGTAAGCTTTGATTGAAGCACCTGACGACAAGGCCATACCAAGGTAGAGGCTCGAATGCATTTGGTCAAGACGTGGTCTTAAAGCCAGGAATTCTCTACCGGATCATCAAGAAGATGATATGCTGAGCAGTCGCCTTCAACAAACAGGTTTGTAACAATCTTACACCGAAAGCTGTGAGGTAGAAGAGAAATACGGCGCCCATTTCCGTCGACAATCACCGTCAGTCAGGGAGCAAAAAGAATAAGGAGACGACGTGAAAGGAAGCTGGAGACTGAAGGAACAGCGTTGTTTGGGCACATATCGAAGGAAGCGACATCTGCAGAGGGTGGACAGAGCACAGCAACAGGTCTACAATGAACTCGGCAACACCCAGCGTTGGATTCTGCCATGCTTTGTTTTCCACCTTATGGGTTGCTCTTCTTTGGATGATGACGCACACCGAGACCAGGCAATTCTACAGCAAATGTATCCCGACGCGGCTCATGATCACGGACGTGCTACCTGCGCTGTCTAGGAAAGAGAATATGTTCACTGTACCCGTAGGCCAGGGACAGAACCACCCACCACCCAGTTCTCCAGCGTTGTCCGTCTTCTTTTCCAAGATTAGGATGGCAGTATGTGTGAGATTGATTGGAAGCTGACAGCATCGGAATCCACAAACTGCTGATAGAGGCAGCCATCTGTCGACCCGGCCACTCCCTGTCACTTTTTGAAACGGTGTTCGCGCTAGGACCGAATTTGTAGCCAGCACAAGGTCAAGCTGGTGTCCTCGATGTGGAGAGGTCTGCGCGGTCCTATTGCGTCGGGTCTAGGTTAGGACAGACGGGAGGTGCTGCGGTGTGCAGAGAGAGGGAGAAAAGAGAGAACAATATTAAGGGCTTAGTATTGTTCTCGATGTCTCTGATTTTCCAGCCTGCCTCGTTTCCGCAGTGCAGAAGATCAGGAGGATGAATTGAAACACGTCGAACCAAGAATCGAAAGAATTGACAGACAAGACGATGGCAACTTGGAAATGGAGTGCAAGAGGTAGGCTGATACTGGTGACATTACCAGCTTTGAGATACTGGGCGAGGACACAAGGACGGAGTCAGGAGTTGAAGTGGACGATGTGAATTCAACTTCGCCTCACTTTGCTTCCCCTCTACTTCACTTCCCTCTCTCTCTCTCTCTCTCTCTCTCTCTCTCTCGTCCTCTTTTACTGCCTCACCTCCTGGTTCGTGTTGCCATTGGCCCTCTGGATTGCTTTTCAGAATCAAAACAAACACCTTCATCATCAACACCTCTCACTTTTTCTACATCTCTTCCCTCCTCTTCTCACTGTCACCACGTCACATCATCTTCTCTTCTGCTCCGCTCCGCTCTCATCACTTGCTCAATTGCGCCAACGGCATCCAGTTCCTCACTGCAGTAGCATCTCTGCTGTTCAGTCAACACCATCATGGCTACTGCGGCGTTTGTTGGTGCTGGCAGTTTGCCCACTGCGGGAGTCGGAGGCGCCCTGTACGATGAGGCATTCCAAGTTCCAACCTATCCTGCTGCTCCATTCAACCAGGTCACCTGGCGTCTCATTGACACCTGGAACAACATCAACGTCAATTACAACACCAACCGAGGACTCGCAGCCGGCTTGGTTTGGGCTACCTTGGTCTATCTGCTTGCCCTCACTCCAACTCGAAAGAGAACGACTCCGTTCCACACCTTCATGCTCATCGGCCTGGTCTTTATGCTCATCAAGTTGATGATCGATATCGTCTCGGCTCTCACTGCTGGTCTCCAGTCCTCCTCGGCCTACACCTTCCTCACCCTCGACTTCACTGACAGCATCTGGACGAGTGACTTCATAGCAACTTTCGCCACCAGCCAAGTTACAGGATGGTTTGCCTTCATCTTCGCTGCTGTCTGTCTCTGGCTCCAGGCGAAAGGGTTGATGACGGGGATCAAAACTCGCTACCCAATTGTCTACAAAGTCATGCTGATCTACCTCATCCTCACCTCCGTGGCCGGCCTGGGTGCTGCCATGGCATACAGCATCCAACAGATTCTTCAGCTTGGCCAGGACGGTGCTGAAATTTACGATTCTCTCAACCAAGCATACAATGCTCGCATCGGATACCTCGCCGCTTACACAATCTGCATTGGGAGCTTCAGCCTTGTCTCCATGGCTTCAGTCGTCGATATCGTTTGGAAGCGTCCTTCTTCCATCGTTGCGAGAAACAGCGCATACGCATCGGCATTGAATTTGATCGGGTTGTTGTGTGTCCAGTCGTTCGTCATTCCTTGTAAGTGCCTCCTTGCCTGTTGTCGCCCTCCCCATTCTAACGCTTCAACAAAGTCATTTTCTGCATTTTACAGATCATCCCTGTGCAGACTAGCATGCTGCACCCCGAGATCATGCTCCTCCCGTCCGTCTACGTGATGCTGCCTCTCGGCTCACTCTTCATGACTGTCAATTCCACCGTCGACGACGCAGAGGCACAGAAAGCTTCACCACTGCCGTCGAACACCATGCCTTCAAAGCCTGCCTTTGCCGATAGCCTTGCAACCTTGACCAACAGCACTACTTCTGCGGCCTCGCGACCCTCTTCATATATGCTCGAGGCAGGACATGGCAAGACGGAGACAGATCGGGAGCTCAGCGCGATCGATTCCATGGGCTCTGGTGCAGCTGCCGGGAAAGACACTGATGTGGCATTGAAGAACAAAGGTGTTGAGGGCAAGGAGGCACTCGTCTCTGAGAAAATGGTGGTTTAGACATATGGAGGCTCCTTCTCGATATCGCCTCAACAATCAACCACATTGGACGGAAATCAGGCGAGGTCATTACAACCATTATGCTTTATGTATGCTCGCGTGGCTCGGTCCGAGAAACCTGCATTCTCGGGAGTCGACAACCAACAAGGCCATCTACGGAGGATTTTTTTTCTTCTTTTGCTGGGTGATATCTGTCACAAGCTGAAGATGCACTTACGGTCAGGGGCCTGGGATGGGGAGCGGGGAAACTTACATGCATTAACTGGAAGTATTGGTCGTGAGTGATTGAGCATCGATCGAAAGGAGGGAGTGAAACACAGAAAATACATCGGCAATCACGCACAGTGAATACGAAGAGGATGGATTTTTCGAGAGACGCAAAACAAGGATAACAATCTTCAGTCGGCGAGGACTTGGGGCTGTGCTTAGCTGGATGGAAACGGTGGAGGACGCAATGGCGTCTTTGTGATCACATAGCTAGCTAGCCAGCCGGTCGCGAAAGAGTGCTTTGAGCTTGTCAACATCAGTATGAGGTGTGAATAACACAACAAAATTTCCACATCGGAGTTTCCTAGGGTTCGTCCTATGCCGTCCGGTTCCTGCTCGTAAGTTGATTTGGAAAGAGACAATGTCCCTGCATTGAACGACAGAGGGTTTCTAAGAGGCAGGTGTGGAGAGAGAGAGAGAGAGAGGGAGAGAGAGAAACCGACACGGTTGTAGAAACCGTCATGCCCGTACCCTTCGTATCAAACCGTGTTCATCATTAATATACTCATATCATTCGGTGCTCACACTGTCACTTTCCTCTTGACCAATCTCACCCAACGTCTTCTTCTCCATTCCCCCGTCCTCCCACGACTGTCAACCCTGGTCGCCTCCTCCCAGTCCCTCACCGCGCCACTTTTCTCTTTCTTGTTTCTCTTTTCCCGCTCCTTCTCTCTCTTCTTCCTGGCCTTTTCCTCCTCCTTGGATTGGTGTCGTACACCTACTTTAGGAACGTTGTAGTCTCCGTATGCCAGCCATAGATCGTCGTCTCTGTTGACGCCGGAGCCGGGCATCGGCGGAAGATCCCACACCCAACCCCCAAAGTCGAGATTGATACTCTCTCTGCGAGTTGTAGAGATTCTTCGTAATCTTGTGTCGCTGTCTTTTCTGTTGCCATCTTGATCGTGGTCTCCAGGGCCGGAGGAGGCATGACCTGATAGAGGCCCATCGATGTTTTGGGACTCGCGGTTGAGGACGTCGTACTCGACGCCCACGACCAGTCTCTCGTTGACCCACTCCCCGGCTTCGAGGTCCAGCTCCCATTTCTTGGATGCCCATTCCCATCCCTCTGGCGGTTCGACGTCTTCGAAGAAGCGTGTGCCCCTTGGCCTGTCGCCTGCTATTCGCGCTGGTGAGAGAGGATCGTAAGGAGAAGGTGTGAAGAGATGGGGCTGCCATTCGGCTGCATTTCCACTGGAGGCAGCGTTGGCTAGAGGACGATGCTGGAGTTCAAAGATCTCCACTTCCCTGGTCTCTGGGGTTGTTGATAGGGTGATCTCAGAAAAGGTAGTGAACGCGGACTTGATCGCATGTGGCGTGGCGGGCAGGGGGATGCCGTGGATATACTTTTGGTGTTTGAGATTAGGGTCGTTCAGCGCGAGGGTTGTTTCGATTTCGGCTTGTTTTTGCATCTTCATCAACCATGCCTGTGCCCTGGGATGGGAGGAGCCAATAACAGCCCATCCCAAAGCAAGAAATATCAATCGCCAAGGAAGCAGATGCGAGGTGATAAAGGAAAGCGTGGTTAGAATAATCAAATACAGAAACAGTTGGGAGGAAAACTGTTCGTCGGAGAAATTCGTGGCTGGCGCGACGTTGTCCACGAGCCAGTCGTGCACGTTACTGAAGTCGGCCATGGTGTTCTGCAGGTCACCCATATTGCGGAAGAAGTCTTTTGAGGTTTCAGGTGCTGGTTTGATGACAGCAGCCGGGGCTAATGCGGGGCCTGTGTATGCTTGATGGTATTCTGTTGTAAGGTTGGTGCTACTGCCGTGGGCGAATGCGGGCGTTGGAGGTGGTGGGTGGCGAGAAGTGAATGCTGGGATCATGATATAGAACAAAGCTATGGCAAGAGGTACCACGACCAGGAGATATGGATCGAGACAGACGAACGAGTACGTGGCTAGGAAGGACAAGGTTTGTGTTGGCCTTCGCCAGGTGAAGAGGCGGATGAGGCGATTCTGAAAGACGAACACGATGCCGATCCGGGCGTTGAAGCGACGAAAGTTGTATGTCATCAATGGCAGGCTAAATGCAGGGCGAGAGACATTTGAACTTGACGGCACGGTGGTTGGAGTGGTGGGTAGGTCGTCCTCACCATCGTCTGTTGGAAGCACCTGTTGGAAAACTCTGAGAGAAATATGTCAACGATCGCCATGAGTAGGCATATATCTTTCAAGGTCCATCAAGCAGAACTTGGGAAGCTGTTGGAGAATAAGATAGCACCAAGGGGAATGCATACTTCGCAAACAGGCGATCCTGAAGAGACATTCTTCCTGCTGAAAGTGGTGGTGTGGCTTCATTTCTCCCGGGGAGAGAAGCAGGGCCGTCTTGAAGCTGGGTGTTCAGTTGCGATGGCGGGCGTGCTCTCTTGGACTTGTGCTTGTGACTTGTGATGTCTGCTTCAGAGGATGAAGCATCCACGTCACCAGAGGGGATAGTGATGAGTGGCGTGGGCTCATCGCGATTGGCAAAGGCTTCGGCTGTGTATTCATCCATGACGAGTCTTTTCTTGTCTCGGGAATTCACCGCTGCATTTTCCCGTTGTGGTAAGCCTGTACAGCAGGCAAGAATCGCACTGCGCGAGATTGAATTGATGTTCTTTGAAATGGGGAAGATACATGGAGTCGTAGTCGTGCATCGACCATGTGGCTATATTTATGGGTCATGTGATCATCCAGCCACGTGTGGCTTGACTGTGGCTGACATGTGTGGCACTTGGATCTCAGGTGACACGAAACCCGGGTTTGACATTTGTCGCAATACCCAGAAAGCCTGCATTCCACTCTCTTATCCTTGGATTTGTGCAGAGAACCCCGGGATTTCCCACGCTACTCGAGGGACTTGATAGTTGTGTAGCGAAACCATTTTGAGGACTTTTAATATTAACCCATGGCCGAGGATCGATGCGAGACGAGATTGCCACAGGTTGATTGTCTAGCAGTCGGCCCTTCTAGTGGAGGGTTTTGTTTGATGGCCAATCTCTGCACCCACTTGGACAACTAGGGTTGCTAGGCCCCGTTAAACCTCTGCAGGACACCCAATGCAGGAAAGCCACACCTTATAGTGGGCAATCCGTTTGGCTCCTCCACCTACGATCGCCCCCCGTAGAGCCTTTTAGAGGACCCTAGGGACAGCCCAGCTCAGGCACACGGCCACCGTAGCCATGGATGATGTCCCCCCAACCCCTGTCCCAACCCCATCGCTCTTCGCAAGCCCAGAACGGATGGACCTGCGCTGTTTCTTTGTCGAGCCAGGTTTGGGAGGGTCGCTTTTTGGCAGTTTGATTATTGTCACCGCAACATCACAGATTTCCCACCCGGACCCTACCCTGGACAAACAACAGATTCTCTCCAGCATCCTTTGGTACCTGTATCTTGAAACAACCCGTAACCGGGGTTCTTTCTTGCTTGATTTTTGATCCCATCCCAGCTCAGCCGGCTCCTCGGAATCCTCCCCTGACGACATTCCAAAGTACGCGTCCACCACGTCGAACTGTCGCCCACACCCACGCACTCCCTGGGCGGACACCCTGGTCCACTCTCTCAGAGAAAGGTCGCGACAGGGTCGGTCTGACCTACAATTCTCACTGCCAACCCGACCTCTATCATCCTCATGGAGTGAGCACCAGCCTGGTGTGGCAATGTCGAGGCTCCAGCATTGAATGACGGGAAACCTGTATGTGAAAGAGACGGGATAGGGGCAGTGGCACCTTTCTCGCCATGCCTTACCGACAGAATGCATCTGGAACAACACAGTCCAGTAGTGTGAAGGCGAGCAATACGAGATCCGACGACTCGGATAGCAGTGGTGGTACGAACGTGATGCAATGCCACTGGATACCTGCAGCAGAGGGACCCCAGCTGACTTTGTGTGACGATACAGTTGCCGTCGCAGGAGTCGACACTCTTCCGTCCAAGAAACAGCCGCCTTCTTCCTTCCCGGCCGCCTCTATGACAGTATCGACGACGACCGCCAAACGCGACTCGGGTGAAAATGCCACAACAACTCGCAGGAGACAGTCGTCCATCCCCAACGCCACAAAAACCCCGATGGGTCCGCGTCCCTTGGACTACGGTAGCCTAGGGAAGAGGTGAGTATCGCGGTTTCCGTCGATAGGTACAATCCGTCAAAGCTAACCCGTCCCTTCTATGTTCCAGGTCGGCCAGCAACTCGATAACTCCCCAGTTTAAGTCTGTACGAGGCGCCTCCGCCGTTGCTTCCCACGATCCATACACCAACGAACTATCCATAAATGACATCTCCAGATTCAGTTTTGCATCTATACAGGCGAAACCCCCATCGCGAGACGATCGTGATGGCTCGTTGGATTTCGGGAATTTCCTGGAGCCGACATTCAACTTCGACGATTTCCAAGACACAATTGTTGGCACTGAACCCAGTCTGAACCATTTCCCTCTACCCGGGCGAGGGACAACAGCCAAAGCTCCTCCCGCCTCTGACGCGCCTGCACCCGACCAAAAGAAGACACCTGCACAGCCAGCGATTCCCGTACCATCTCGGAAAGGTTCTGGTGTGGTCCCAGTAACCCGCAAAAGTTCTACTGCGTCGAATAATTCGAGGAATTCTGTGAAGTCTGACTCCATGGCCACGGCCACAACATCGATCCTTCGAGGACGGAGACAGAGCCATTTCCCGCCCAATTCATTCAACAACGCAAACGGTGGCCCCAAAGCACCGAGAAAGTCTGTGGGGCCAGGCACCTTTGTTGCCCCAGATAATGCAGAAAAGTCAACAGTGAGGAGACGGCCGAGCGCAGGGGGCAGGAAATCCAGTACGGAAAGCAGCAAGAACTTGTCCCTGAGACAGTTATCTAGTCGGACTGAAGGGAGTGGAGCAGAAGATACGAAGACTCCGAGCACGACTAAATCAAGGGCATCATTAGCTCCCAAACGACAAAACTCCAAAGACTTGCTCACTCCTTCGAGGACACCAGATCCATCACGGTCAACTTCGACTACAACTCATAACACGCCTACGAGAAGGAGTGGGACGCCTGGGAGGACAACCACACCAGGGGGAAATGCTGACCGTAACCGGCGGATATCTGTCATGCCCCATCATGCGACTGGGTTGGGGGCTCGTACCGTCAGCCCGACCGATGCTCGCCGCATGAAACGAATGTCGATTGTTCCCCCAGCACCACCGTTGCCTCAAAGCCGGATCTCACAAGCTCCCCCAACTCCTCAGCCTGAACCTATACCCCAGCTCCCTCAGTCCGATCTACAGTCTCCAGCGATACCAAACCGCAAGAGCTTGACGCCGTCGTCTTCACGGACCACTCCGGATCCCAATCGCAAATCCTACAGCTCAGGTCAATCTTTGTCATCAAATACTAGTTATAATTCTGTTCGAAATGTTGTCAATATCCCCGTCAGACTTCCCCAGCCCGTCAGCTCTTCGAGATTGCCTACAGCGAAACCCCGGCTCGATATTTCCACAACCACCAACTATGAGTTGGAAGTGCCGCCTGTCCCTGCTATACCAAAAGCTTATGAATCTCCCGGGAGTGAGCTGGACCAACCCTTCTTCTCGGCGAGGTCCTCCAGTCTGCCGCCATTTGATGGAGCTATCTCTGCGAGTCCAGTGGTGTCCACTGTAGCTGATGCAATGAAGGCATTGGAGACACCTCGCGCGTCCAGCAATGTCTCGCATAGTCCCGCATCACAACCTCAGCCTCCTCCAGTCGAGCCCGAGCTCAAGCCCAAATCGCAACCACAGCCACATCCGCAACCTCAGGCAAAAGCGAATAAGAAGTCGCTCCAGTCGCTCAGGCTACCGCCATTGAACCTGTTGCCGTTGAGCACGCCTACCTCTGCCAAAATCAGGTCACTGAATGCAAACTCCGAGACTGGGGAGCTTCCGGTGACACCACCTGGAATTCGGAACACCATGAAAACACCGAGCACACCTATGACGGCTTCCAAGGCAAGTTTCTTTTCTAGAGGACCGAAAACTGCCGACGAGGGCACGACAATGCGAAGTAGCACCTCGCACCATGCTCTACGGTCGGATGAGCTGCGACCGCCGAGCGATATCAGTCCAAACTTGCCGGTATTCTCTTTTGAATCCGACAAAAGTCGCACAATCTCACCATTTGTATCTTCCTCCCTACCCAAGAGCAACGATGAGTTTTCGAACTATATGCGACCCAACTTCATCAACGAGTTGAACAGGAACCCAAGTCAGCCTCGACCCAACGGACCTCGTGCCCCTAGCTTCTCAATCACACCGAAATCCGAAGCTACGGTCGTCTCAAGTCCGGCAGAAAAGCTTACCGAGAGTGAATCTGTGTTCTCTACAACCTCGCTCAGGAGGAAATTGAGTCGCAAACGGAGTGAGTCGAAGTTGCCAGAAACAGCGACGCAGGATGAAGACTTGTCCAAGTATGATAACATGCCTCCGCCAAAGCTTCCAGCGTCCGCAAGCTGGGCCAATATCCATACTGGGGCTGCAAGTCCTCAACGGCCGTCTTACCTCAGGTCCCGGAGACAGACATCCACGTCTAGCACAAACAACGGTCCAGAACGAAAGGAGAGCTTTGACAATACCGTGTCAACTGGTCGTCCATCACTCGATTCTGGGAGAATTCTCGCAGCTAATTCGCATCGGTCGGGATCCCTCTCGTCTAGCGCTCTCAACCTTACTGCCCATAAACCAGTACAACGTCAACAAGAGCAACCACCTTTAGATCGCGACGACATGGTTGCAGAAGATGAAATGAAGAAGCTCGCTTCGAAGAGGAAGGACTTTGAATCAGCCGCACGGGAGTTGGACAACCTTCGAGCGCGGGCCAAACCTACCACTCGCATGTCACACGTTGCTGCCGCGCGTATTTTTGACCTGAATATCTTTGAACGAGGCGAGATTGTTGATTTCCCGGACGTTTACTTCACGGGAACTCTCAACGCAAGGAAAATTGTGGGGGATCCGGGGTCAACTTCCACCAATTTCGGATATGATGATGAACGCGGTGATTACAATATTGTTGAAGGAGATCATCTGGCCTACCGATACGAGGTTGTTGATCTTCTTGGGAAAGGTAGCTTTGGACAGGTTGTACGCTGTGTTGATCACAAGACAGGAATCCTTGTTGCAGTAAAGATCATTCGCAACAAGAAAAGATTCCATCAACAGGCTCTTGTGGAGGTCAACATCCTGCAAAAGCTCAAGGAATGGGTAAGTCGAGAGCACGAAAGGTTTGAATGTTTTCGCTCGCTAACACGATACCAGGATCCTCACAAAAAGCACAGCGTTGTCAATTTCGATCAAAGCTTTTATTTCCGCGGCCATCTTTGTATTTCTACCGACCTCCTGGGTATGAACCTGTACGAATTCATCAAAGCGCACGACTTCCGAGGTTTCTCGCTGAAACTGATCCGACGATTCACGAAACAGCTTCTCCAATGTCTGGTCCTTCTGCAGCACCACAAGGTTATTCATTGCGATCTCAAACCAGAAAATATCCTCCTCGCGCATCCTGTCCATTCTGAAATAAAAGTGATTGATTTTGGTTCCAGCTGTTTCGAGCACGAGAAGGTGTACACTTATATCCAATCCCGATTCTATCGGTCACCCGAAGTCATTCTTGGAATGTCTTACGGCATGCCTATCGACATGTGGAGCGTTGGCTGCATCCTGGCAGAGCTTTACACTGGTTATCCAATCTTCCCAGGAGAAAACGAGCAGGAGCAACTTGCCTGCATTATGGAAGTCTTTGGTCCTCCAGAAAAGCATCTCATTGAGAAAAGTAGCCGGAAGAAGCTCTTCTTCGACTCGATGGGTAAACCTCGCTTGACGGTATCTTCTAAGGGAAAGAGAAGGCGGCCGAGCTCCAAGGATTTACGACAAGTCTTGAGATGTGATGACGAAGCATTCCTAGACTTCATAACTAAGTGTTTGAAGTGGGATCCGACACGACGAATGACACCTCACGAGGCGAACAAGCATGAATTTATTACAGGGATCAAAATGAGCTCGAGCGCTGCCAGGAGGAACACCCAGTCCGCTGTGAACTCACCAGTCAAGAGAGGGAACTCTCTGACCACCACCGGAGGGGGCATTAGACCACTGCCACAACCTCCAACTACCTTGAAGGCGCCAGTTTCAGGTCGACAGGAGACCTCTCCAAACAAGGGAGGCCCACGGCGCCAGTCAACCATGACTGGGGGCTTTCAAGCGACATCACAAGCCAAGCGCGCGTCACATGCGGCGATGACCTCGTCGGCGTCCAATCCGAACCTGGCAAGACTGACTGTCGGCCAAAGGAGTCTGAGTAATAGATCTGATTTAGCTGCAGCGGCGGCGGCGGCCAGTCTAGTCAAGTGATGATGGGATTTTGAGTGGGTATGCTGGGACCACCTAACATGCTGTTGCTGATGGATGTTGTCTCTTTTCTAGATCATGTGGTGCGTTCGAGACAGGGAGACGTGGATGGAAGACGAATTTCTTACTATCGTTAATGAACATATAAAAGCTTTCAGCATAGCACAAGCATTGGGGACGCACCTGGCCGGGCACAGGATGACGATGGCTCCGGACATTTGGCCCATGGCACAGCCATGAGTTGGGGCGGCTTGGGCGGTGCGCTTGCTGCGTCTTTAATATTGTATACCACGAATGAATCGAAGATTCTTGAGGACGCTGGGCCTCCTGGCAGTCTTTCTGCCGCAGCGCCAGCTATCTCATATCGTTTCAGATCCTCTGATTGCTTTGCTGTACGTAGCTAGCTAGCGAGGGCTCGACTCCTACACGTTGCTCACATCACTCACACATCCAGGATGGAGTCCTCTCGATCTGGGGGCACCGCACAGAAGTACCTCGTATGTAAGTGCCGTGAGCATAGGAGGCTAGAGGCAAGACGGCGGGAGGCTGGCTGATGGTGGTTGGGTCGGGGCGGAAACACGGTGGTGGCAGCAACTAAACTGACCATGCAAAAGAAAAATCCAAGAGTTCCCTCTCTTCCTGGGCTGTAAAGCATTTGATTGAATGATTTTGATATTGCAAAGCTTTATTGAACGGGCAGGAGAAAAACACGGAAACAAAGACCCCGTAATCCTCCCCTTCCCCTTGCGCTGATTGCCGTTCTGTTCAAAGAAGACAAGCGCAGTTGGCAGAACGCAGCGCATAAAAGGCACAAAGGAAATGAGAGATAAAAACTCGTGCAAAACGCAGGCGCTTTTGCTCGTCTTCACTGTATGTACCATGCCATATCCCCATTGAAGGTGTCATTATTGGATTTGCGGATCTGCAGGACGCAGACCGTTTTTGAGTTGATTCGTAGCTTGGGTGTGTGTCATGGGCTTGAGGATGGCGGATGCAAATGGAAGAGTAGTCTCGGGGTGTACGTTTGTCGCTCTCAAGAGTACCCGACTCGCTCGTCAATCACTGGCTTCTCTTCCAATCTCCTTTTCCACCGTCCTCTGCTCTTCCCGGGTCGTCGCCGCTCAGCAGCATTCGGCGAAGCACTCGCAGCAGTCCGCGCAGCATTCACATCCTTCTTCGCAAACAAAGCAGCAGCAAAGGGCAGCGAGACTATCAGACAATGTTAGCCGCTACGTATCCTTTATGCGCCTATTTCCTGAGGCCCCAAGGCCGGAGGAAAGAGGTATGGTGCTTCTTACCAAGCGCCCAAGCATCCACGGTCTTGTCCCCGAGGCGCCGGTTGTGGCGGAGGGTAGTTTTGAGGCTGTTGGTATGGCATACCCCCTTGCGGTGGTGGGTAGTAACCTTGCGGAGGACCTTGAGGCGGGTAACCTCCTCCGTAGCTATTGAAGGATATGAATTAGTGGACAGCGCCAAAAAAAAAGTGATGGTGGGAGAGGAGGTGCGGTGACAACGTGGTAACAGGGCGAGCGCAGGGAACAGAAAATGTACACGCTCAGGTGAACGTGTGCTCTTTTCTGAACTTGCCAGAAAGTCTCATGAGGTAAAGAGAAAGATACAGCGTAGGCAGGCGGTATCAAGAGAGGACTCGAAGTCAGGACAACTCACCTTTGCGGAGGGTACTGAGGACCACCTTGGTAGTATTGTTGGCTCGACATTGCAGCGGCGGAGTGGGATGTAGAGTCGGTTATTGATGAAAGGTCAAAAGAGAGCGTGGGTTGATGAGCCTGTGATGGTTGCAATAATTGAAAGGTGATCGCAATGGATGAATGAATGCAATGCGAATTCTCAAGGCGCAGGAAGAAAGAAGAGAGATTAAGAGGTCAAAGAGGGTCTGGTGCCGGCAACCACAGTCAGTGCCTAGCGGTGGGTGTTGGAGGGAAGGTGGGCGGCGATTTGCTTGACAAAAAGCTTAGATGGTCGCAGCAGGCGGTGGTTCCCAGCCCAAAAAGCGGAGCCTAGAGTAGATATTTGGGGGTGACCAGCAGGCCTGGCTTGGTGAGGTGGTGACCCTGGGGGGTTGGCACTGGTTTAATAAGGGGGTGGTTGGTACAGAGCTTGTTTGAGGGTTGTGATTGTGAGACGAGAACACAAACGGCTACCCATGGCACATTCTCCTGCTGTGCCTTCTGATATACTAGACACTGTGGATAGAGTCACGAGTTCTTTGGGCAAAGGTGATATCAATTCGCCTTTCCAGCAATGGTTGCGCGCATTGGATTGACTTTCTCTTCCCTGATTCCAACTGTCCTATTGCGCAAACCTGGCGGGCGCAGCTGAAACACCACCCTCTGACTACTACTACCAGCAACGGCCTCTTTCCGGGCACATCGTTTTACAGTACTCGCACATACGAGGTACGCCTGTGGCCCTTCACGTTCCCGTCGGCTAATTGCTCAGCCACACCCAGAGACCAAATGTGCAGCTGAAATTCGGCAAAGAGACGCACAAGTCACACTGGACCGAGTACGTGTACTGAGTCCAGCCACTCATTTGCCACACTTGAACCCATTCAGGACGTGGCACATGTCCTATGCGATTGGCCCACGCCGGCTGATGGAACCGTGAGTCTATTGCGCCTCGAACCATCTACCATGAGCGATCTCGCAAGAAAAGCATGTGTTTGCGAAAGGGAAACAAGTTGGACACCTGCACGAGGATACACAAGGTCAGGTGGGCTGCCAAAGGTCTTGTTCAAATCATCTAAATGGCCTATTTTTGGTGCACCAAGAAGACCACAATCTGCGAATCTGTGCTTCCTTGCTTGTGGAGACAAAGATCGAGTTGTTGATGTCGACCCTCCGAACAACGCACTCTATGACATCTCCCAGAGCTCTTCGACTTGCCCAAGTTCGACTTGATCGAGGCGAAGGTGTCTCTAATTGCGTTCTGGTGCGTGATGTCGACGAGGAACACATGAAGATTGGAGGGTTGCCATTCTCACCTCTGAACTACTCGTCGTAAGTTCTCATCGTTGACATCTAGCATTGCTACATCTTGGGCTCCAGCACGAGCGAATGCCATACAAGTCGCCACGCCAATACGTGCCTGCTGCGCCGGTGACAACGACCACTTTTCTAGCCGCTGACAGTTTTGGTCTTGTTGATGATATGGCTATAAGCATTCTGATGGATCGTTCTTATGAAGGAGGGTCAGTATGCCATTACGTAGACCAAAGTGGCACTGTCCTCTCTGACAGCGAGAATACTGTGTCAGAGAACAATGGCGTTCGAAGCCCTCCAAGGTGAACGCGGCGCCGAGGTATGTCAAGTCTGTCAAGGGTAGGAGTATCGTATCAAACGCTCCAATCAGGTTGCTGAAAAACGTGGCATCCCGCAATGCCAACCTCTGCCCTGGCCGAGATACCACATCGAGTCTCAACTGTTCTTGACTTCTATCTCCGGCCTCATAGAATGCCGTCCGTTCCCGGCATTCTGATCACCGCCGCAGTCCCCAAACACAATCCAAGAAGGGCGAATATGAGCTACGTGAGTCGCAACAAGAGTGTTCGCCTCTACCAGATTCACAAGCATCTCAAACATCAAGACTGCAGTTTTCTGACCAGGGGAAAGGGCTGAAATGGAACAGGTATGTTTGTAAATCTGGCTGTCATGCACCCACTACCAGAATCATCAAACATTCAAGTGCTTTCTGTCCACCAACTAAATGGAAAACACCACACAGCTTTCACTTCGTGGGCTTTATGCTCTAGTCACTGGCGGCAACCAAGGCATAGGGCTCGCTTTAGTCACTGGCCTTGCTCGAGCTGGAGCGAATGTCGTGGTCTTTGACATCTCCCCACCTTCGACTGAATTCGAAAGTATTGCAAGCTCCTACGGCATTCGCACCGCGTATCGGAAGGTGGACGTGTCGTGTGTGGCATCCCTTAAACAGGCTTTTGAAGATACACTTCATCCGTTCTGCGGAGACGGTGGTCTAGACATCTGCATCGCAGCTGCAGGGATCAACCAAGTCAAGGACTTTCTCGCCACCGAAGAAAACGACTTTGATAAGCTAATGAAGGTCAACGTCAAAGGGGTATATTTCACCTGCCAACTTGCCGCGCAAACAATGATCGGATCCAGGCCAGATCGTGGCGAGACCACGGACATGCTAAGCAATGGGTGCGGAAACAGGAGCAAGAGCAAAAGCATCATTGTCATTGCTAGCACAACATCTTACGTGGCGGTTCGGACGCACAATTCAAGCGCATACGCCGTGACCAAGTCGGCCGTCCGGGGAATGGTACCTGAAATAGCAAAAGAACTGGGATCACGTGGGATCAGAGTCAATTCGATCAGCCCTGGCTACACCTTGACAAGTATGACAGAGGGATATCCGGAGATCATAAAGCAGTGGCAAAACGACACCATGCTGGGATTCATTGGCGTGCCCGAGGACTATGTTGGTATCTCCCTCTATCTGGCGAGCAATGCAAGCAGATATGTGACTGGACAAGATTTCCTGATTGATGGGGGCTCGACCAAATGGTGAGACACGGCCGGCGGACCCGATATTGACGGGGGAAAGATGACCAAACGTGTTCTATCTGGCAGATGGGGTGGAAGGAGACAGGCGAGAAGAAAAGAGCTGGTCATGTCATGCCATATTGGAACGGGTCACATTCTTGTGGATTGACGCCATCGACGGCGGGATATAGCAATGGACCTACTTTGTCTACCTCGCCGTCGATGGTCTGTATTGGGATCAAAGACTGAATTGTTCCGGCTTTCCCCACACAGGTCAAGACAGCGCGATAGGCGACAGTTAAACTCTGTTACTTGCGACATACGGGAATTGGGAATTGTGGTGAGAATATGATCATGAATAAGACAAGGTCCTGTTCCCGTCGCCCCCATCGGCGTCTAGTAGTTCCTGGTGGTAGGTCAGCTAGACGTTGACGTATTGCTTGCCGCCTCCACCCATGGGGTTATTCCCCGTCC